CCATTGGCAGCCATACATGCCCATGCCATGACACTACCACCACCATGCTTCACTGATCAGGTGGTATGCTTTGGATCATGAGCAGTTCCTTTCCATACTCTTCTCTTCCCATCACTCTGGTACAAGTTGATCTTGGTCTCATCTGTCCATAGGATGTTGTTCCAGAACTGTGAAGGCTTTTTTAGATGTTGTTTGGCAAACTCTAATCTGGCCTTCCTGTTTTTGAGGCTCACCAATGGTTTACATCTTGTGGTGAACCCTCTGTATTCACTCTGGTGAAGTCTTCTCTTGATTGTTGACTTTGACACACATACACCTACCTCCTGGAGAGTGTTCTTGATCTGTCCAACTGTTGTGAAGGGTGTTTTCTTCACCAGGGAAAGAATTCTTCGGTCATCCACCACAGTTGTTTTCCGTGGTCTTCCGGCCATTCGGCCCATCTAGCATGCCCAATTTTTAAAATACTTTCATTAGTCGCTGGCCTTATCTTATAGCTAGGATAGCCTTATTCCTATCCCACGCATGCTTAAACTTCTTTACTGTGTTAACTTCTACCACTTCAGCTGGAAGGCTATTCCATGCATCCACTACCCTCTCAGTAAAGTAATACTTCCTGATATTATTTTTAAACCTTTGCCCCTCTAATTTAAAACTATGTCCTCTTGTTGTGGTAGTTTTTGTTCTTTTAAATATAGTCTCTTCCTTTACTGTGTTGATTCCCTGTATGTATTTAAATGTTTCTATCATATCCCCCCTGTCTCGTCTTTCCTCCAAGCTATACATGTTAAGTTCCTTTAACCTTTCCTTGTAAGATTTATCTTGCAATCCATGAACCAGTTTAGTAGCCCTTTTATGAACTCTCTCTAAAGTATCAATATCCTTCTTGAGATACGGTCTCCAGTACTGCTTACAATACTCCAAATGAGGTCTCACCAGTGTTCTGTATAATGGCATGAGCACTTCCCTCTTTCTACTGCTAATACCTCTCCCTATACAACCAAGCATTCTGCTAGCATTTCCTGCTGCTCTATTACATTGTCTGCCTACCTTTAAGTCATCAGAAATAATCACCCCTAAATCCCTTTCCTCAGATGTTGAGGTTAGGACTCGATCAAATATCCTATACTCTGCCCTTGGGTTTTTACGTCCAAGATGCATTATCTTGCACTTATCTAAATTAAAAGTCAGTTGCCACAACTCTGACCATTTTTCTAGTTTACCTAAATCATTTGCCATTTGGCTTATCCCTCCTGGATCATCAACCCTGTTACATATCTTAGTACCTTCTGCAATATCACTAATAAAAATATTAAAGATAATGGGTCCAAGTACAGTTCCCTGAGGTACCCCACTGGTGACAAGCCCATTCTTTAAATATACTCCATTGACTACAAACCTCTGTTGCCTGTCACTCAGCCACTGCCTTACCCATTCAACAATATTGGAATCCAAACTTAAAGGACCACTCTAGGCACCCAGACCACTTCAGCTTAATGAAGTGGTCTGGGTGCCAGGTCCTTCTAGGGTTAACCCATTTTTTCATAATTATAGCAGTTTCAGAGAAACTGCTATAATTATGAATGGGTTAAGCCTTCCCCCTAATCCTCTAGTGGCTGTCTCATTGACAGCCACTAGAGGCGCTTGCGTGCTTCTCACTGTGATTTTCACAGTGAGAGCACGCCAGCGTCCATAGGAAAGCATTGTAAATGCTTTCCTATGAGACCGGCTGAATGCGCGCGCAGCTCTTGCCGCGCGTGCGCATTCAGCCGGCGGGGCGTAACGGAGGCGGAGAGGAGGAGGAGAGCTCTCCGCCCAGCGCTGGAAAAAGGTAAGTTTTTACCCCTTTCCCCTTCCAGAGCCGGGCGGGAGGGGGTCCCTGAGGGTGGGGGCACCCTCAGGGCACTATAGTGCCAGGAAAACGAGTATGTTTTCCTGGCACTATAGTGGTCCTTTAAAGATTGTAGTTTATTGATGAGCCTTCTATGTGCAACAGTGTCAAAAGCCGTATAAAAAGCAGTATAAATACTGGTAAAACTCCCGAACGGTAAAAGGCACGAACGGTAAAGAGATGAACTGTGCGAATGGATGCACAGTTCGTCTAAAAAATTATACAAAGGGAAAAAGTATGCGAACGCTTGCCATAGACGAAAATAAACTGGTGAATAAAAAGGAAATTGCCGAACGGCAGATTAAATGAACGGTATTATTGCTTGAATCTAGGAGCAGATAAACCGTTTCGTCAGTGGAAAAAGGGGTGAAAGTGCCGCGAGACAAGTGGAATTAAAAATTAGAGGGATAAATATAATGGATTCCCCTCCCGGTGTCCCCTAAAGAGATAGGGAACCGGGTGGGAAGCCCAACCAAGCAAATACAGCATAAAAGGCAGAATTAATAAGCAAATAAGGCACAACAAATTAATGCACGTAATCAGAATAATATTGTAGTAAAATAATAATTGTAAAATAATAAGAGCAGTAATACTAGCAAATAATATTAAACTTGGTAATAACAGTATTAATACTAGCAATACTAACAATAATAATAGTAATAATAATCCCACAGTTAAGAACTATGGGATCAGTGTACTTAACTGAGGGAGCAGCAAAGAAAGAGCTGGAGAGTGGAACCTGACTGGCTGATTGGTTGCCAGGGAAGATATATGTTAAGGACTGTTCATATTATTGTTAAAGTTTTCTCTTTGCTGCTGAGGGAAATAAAGAAAGAGTGCAGTATAATAGGAGCCTCCGTGTCTTGATAAAATCTAGGTTAGCAATGTCTACTGCACCACCCTGATCTATAATTTTAGTTACCCAATCAAAAAAATCAATAAGATTAGTTTGGCATGATCTCCCTGAAGTAAACCCATGTTGTCTCTGATCTTGAAATCCATGTGTTTTTAGATGTTCATCAATCCTATCCTTTAACATGGTTTCCATCACTTTCCCCACTACTGAAGTAAGGCTTACTGGTCTATAGTTGCCCGACTCCTCCCTATTACCTTTCTTGTAAATGGGCACAACATTTGCTAACTTCCAATCTTCTGGGACTACTCCTGTTAACAATGATTGGTTAGTATACTCTTTCCATCAACTTTTAAATAATACAAAGTTTCCCTGGTGGCTCAAATTAATCTTTAAAGGATACCATGAGCACCATAACAACTTTATTACATTGATGTAATTGTAGTGCGAGGAGGCTCCAGTGCAGTCTTTCAGCTTAGATAGTCGACTAATAGTTTATCCCCAGAATCTGGAAGATGGTTTGATCGCTCGGCCCCTTCACTTTCTCAGGGGCCGCTAAGTTTGTAGGACAAGGAATTGTCCATTCATGGTAATTCAGTAGGCACCCAGGGCTGTAACAGGCATCACTTGATCAGAAATCTGAAAAGTGAGTGAATAAGAACTTTTCTGAATAAAGAGCTACTGAGGCCTGTGAGAGTTACTACCTTGATGTTATTACTGTATTATGCATGATTAAGACCGCTAGGCTGAAAGTCGCTTGTGTTTGTATGTCTATTTGGAATAAATCACAATTAATTTTGATGCTACTGTGTAGCCTGTGCATCTTTCTCTTTAATACTCTCAGCCTATCAACAGCACCCAGTCTGAAGGTTCCTGATTGAAACCTTGGACCTTCAGAGCTAGAAGAGCAAGAGCGAACGAGTGCTGCTGCTGCCAGACTTTGGTGTTAAATTATTAGATTGCAGGTTTTTGTCAAAATGCTTGAGTAGTTCTCAAATTGTCGCCTCAGCTTCCAATGTGATAATGTGAATGTATGGAACTGTGCCACACTCTCAGCCAGGCTCTTCCACTTCTCATGCTGCCAGATGCCCTAACACACTCTCAGCCACACTCCCTCACTTTTCATGCCGATAGTTCTCCCACACTGCTGGTTTCACTCCCAGACTCTCAGCCATCCTCTCTCACTCCTAATGCTGCTGGTTTCACTCCCAGACTCTCAGCCACACTCCCTCACTCCTCATGCTGCCTGTTCTATTACATCTCTCTCAGCCATCCTCTCTCTCTCTCACTCCTCATGCTGCTGGTTCCACTCCCACACTCTCAGCCATCCTCTCTCACTCCTAATGCTGCTGGTTTCACTCCCAGACTCTCAGCCACACTCCCTCACTCCTCATGCTGCCTGTTCTATTACATCTCTCTCAGCCATCCTCTCTCTCTCTCACTCCTCATGCTGCTGGTTCCACTCCCACACTCTCAGCCATCCTCTCTCACTCCTAATGCTGCTGGTTCCACTCCCACACTCTCAGCCATCCTCTCTCACTCCTCATGCTGCTGGTTGCACACTCTCAGCCATCCTCTCTCTCTCACACTCCTAATGCTGCTGGTTCCACTCCAACACTCTCAGCCATCCTCATACTCCTCATGCTGCTGGTTCCACTCCCACACTCTCAGCCATCCACTCCTCATGCTGCTGGTTCCACACTCTCAGCCATCCTCTCCCACTCCTCATGCTGCTGGTTCCACACTCTCAGCCATCCTCTCCCACTCCTCATGCTGCTGGTTCCACTCTCAGCCTTTTGTTTGGTTTTATTTGCCTGGGCTGGGGATGATAGCAGTGGGACACCACAAACATCCCATGACATCGCTTTTAAACTACATCTCCCATCATACAGTTCGCACTAACCAATCGTACGACGCCTGCCGCTCCGGAGAGCTGTGCCGCTATTAACATAATCTGTGAGCCGCACGTTACTCCAGTCTGAATCCTGGGCGGCCATTTTTACCTCTGTCCAAGCAGCATTATTCTGTTACGCATATCTAACAACAAAAGAATAGCAACAACCATAGTTACACAGACAAGACTTGTATGTTTACAAAAGTGTAAAAAAAATGCAAACATGTAATGGTTAGAGTACTATTTCCCTACACTCATAGCCTCCTGCCCGAAACAAAGATGGCCGATAAATCCTCCCAGTCTCTTAGGCAAGCCTCCTCATTGTGCTGTGTGAGGGTAGAGCACCCCCTACCGGCAGGCGGGGCAGATTCGGTACCCTGACTGCTGGACATCACATATAGAAAGAAGATCTGAGGAGGGACACCAGCAGGGTAAGAACCACGATGCCTTAATGTGATTTCACAGTGTTGGGGGGGCTGATGGCTTGAGGTGGGGGTCAGTGTTTTTAAATCCTACCCTGGCACCCAGGGGGGTCTCTCCCTGTCTACCCCTGAATGCAGGAACCACCTGTATTAAAGGGGGATCTACTGGCCATGGTGCTGCAGGACTGGGCTATTAATGATGGCTGGTAGAATCAGTGCAGGCTCAGGGTTAAAGGGTTTAAAGAGACCCCATGCCCTGGGTTTGTCTCCCAGCTGGGATTGTGCAGCTGCATGGATGCAGATAAGGGATTTAAAGGAGGCATCCTAGTGCAATGCGAAAACTGGGTGTGTTGTCATCATCCCTGACTGCCATACACTGCATGCACCATCACTACCCTGCTTTATAAACCACACATACATCCACTATCTTTACATTTCTTAGATCTATGCAAGACAAATAAAATGGTATTTGTAATATATATGTATAATGGGTTATTCATCTTTAGAAACTCAATCTTAATCCTGAGCACAATGTCCCCAAAATATATTTTCTATTTGGATACTTTGTGATCTTTCAGTAGAAACTCACTACAGCTCTTTTTTCTAAGATGACTTTGATGTTTAGTACAGCTATATATGTTTAAATGCACTGCAATGTCCAGTGATTGTCAAAGATGAATGTACATAATTATATATACATGTACAGCTGGGAGGCTTTTGATGACTTCTTCATGTAAGCGCAATTAGTTTATTAAAGTCACCATGTATGTATAATGATGGTTGTTTTAACTAACTATCACCTGTGGATCTGCTCAATAAGACAGTGCTTCATTAGGATCCAGAACTGGACATTTGTGATAAATTAGTGTGACCCCAATGGTTTTAACAGGCATCATTTGATCAGCCCCCCTTCCCCCAAACTGCCTACAGTAAATTAGTTACCTCACTGCCTGGGAACCCCTCTGACACTGGGAAAAGTTTACCGAAGATGTTTTTCAGAATTTATTTTGTTGCATTTTACATAAGAGTTTAAGAACAGGCCCTAAATTAATTTTAATTGAAATAATGAGTTGTCTAGCTAGTGTCCTATGCAACATGGGGTTTGAATGTTGCAATCTTAATGATACATAATATAAATAAACACAAACAATGTATTTTAGCAAATTGTTTATTTAATAACTTGAATAGTGCACTTTGGAGAATGGCTCTGAACCTTTATTACAGATCTCACAATTCCAATTAAACATCAACAACCATAATAATAATAATAATAATAATAATAATAAAACCATAACTTTGAACCAAACCAACATATTAACCATAACTACTTTCCAAGGCTCTGCCCCCCCAAAGCCAGGAGCCATAAATATATCTTAAACCAAATACACCCTCCTGTTATGACCAGGAGGGCGACTTACATCCCATAATAGGGTCACAACATAGGTTACTAAATGAAAGAGAGGGTGGGTGGGAGCAGCAGCTCAAATATTTAAAACCGCCAACCTTCAGATATGTCTGGCACAAGCTGAGGTGCCTTTAAATTTATACTCATGAGTTTCCCTCCACTGTGAACCTCGTGCAGCGAACTACCATTCAGGGCTCCTGGCCGCGAGCTTCCCGCTTTACTGGTAGCGCGAGCTGCCCTGCACCTAAACCCTAGCGTCCGCTGCCCTTACTTACCAACGAACTCCGCTCCATCAAACCTCATGAGGATGCTCCTTATTCAGTACGCATGCCTGACATTTCGAAGCCATGTAACAAAAAGCAAACAAAAACACCTGTGATCTGTGAATTGAGAAGGGACATGCCAAGTTTAGACAAACAAATTTGACAATATCCCAAACTCGATTGTTGACTCATTTCACTAGTTAGTGAAAAGAAAAAATATTTTAATGTATTAACTCCAATTTATGCACTTTGATAAGGATGATTAAAACCGCTGCATTATTTTATGATCCTCTTACATTAAATCCTTTTACTGTCTACGTTCTGCTAGCCTTGTTTGTCCAAGGGACCTGCACCACTTTTCAATGCAGTGATTTTCTACATGTCATGGGGTTACACTCAGGTGAGGTTGTGGTATAGGACAAGTCATTTTATTTGCTTTAAATAACTATAACCTCATGCTCATTTGGGTACCTGAAATTATGAGGGAAAAAAGCTCCTAATCACAGTTTATATTTATATATTTAAATTGTACCTGTCACACCTAACAAGATTTAATCGATGATCCATCTCCGCTCTATTCTTAAAATAGTTTTTATTTTTGCCATTCATATTTTAATTCACTACAGCTAGTTGTTTTTTTTTTACTGAATAAACAGTTTGTTGCCAATTTAAGGGATGTAGAATTGTATCTATACATTATGCTAGCCAATTTGCTAGTAAAAGTATACATCAAAAGTTACATAGTGTTTTATCATTTGGATCTTGATTTTCCTGTCGTGCCATAGGAACATCTTCCATTAAGCAAAAAGTCTGCCTCACTGTACGTCAAATGGGCAACCAAGGGCGTGTGGGTGGGGAGGTGTTCAGGGGCGAGACTGTCTTGGAACTTTTGGCTGACTTCTTGACCTGGTGACAGCCATCTATGTAATTTTCAAAGTCATTTAGAACAATGCTCACATATTTATGATTGCAAATTAATTTATTATGCTTTAAAGGCATATTACTGAGACTTATTGTGTTCTGGGGGGATTCGGTTCCAAATGTAGACTGTTGGTAGGTGTGATAAAGCATAAAATAATTAAGGTGAAAATCTGCATTGAAAGCAGACTCCTGAGCTTTGTTGCGCCTATATAGAGATTGACAGGGATTGGTCAGGACAAGTAAAATACAAGGGGTATCAGAGGGGGATGCAGGGCCGGGGATGCATGAGCAAGTTAAAAAGCTTGTCTAGACTAGAGCACTAAGAACATTGTGGCAAGTCTCATTCTCACAGACAAAACGGTATTCATTGATTATGGCTACTACATTACTTCAGTAGTTTTGTAATGTCCCTGCTTCAGTAGGTAGTGTTTGTAAAATATATTTGCATTTATGTATTTAAAGGACCACTATAGTGCCAGGAAAACAAACTCATTTTCCTGGCACTATAGTATTAATAGGTCCCCCCCACCCTCATGGCCCCCCTCCCACCAGGCTGAATGGAGAGGAAGGGGTTAAACACTTACCTTTCTCCAGCGCCGGAGAAAGGTAAGTGTTTAACCCCTTCCTCTCCATTCAGCCCGGTGGGAGGGGGGCCATGAGTTATTTAATTATTTATTAGTTATCACAGTAGTATCAGCAATATTTTGTATGCGGATTGGTTTCTCAAAGAAAAAAAAAATCATCATGTTGATAAAGGGACAAGGCTGAACTGATCCCTCTATTTTCATTTTCAATATACAGAAAATACATTTAAAAGAAAAATATGCCTTTGCATGTCCATTGTTTGCTGTAAATCCTCAGATCTGCATAAACCAGCTGGGTCAGTAAATAGGGAATTCATATTCACTAGGGATATGAACAATTTAGGTCAAAGTAGAGGATTTGGAAAAATTCTCCAACTCAACTATGCTTCTAGCTCAGCTATTTTAGTCTGAAATGAAATCCCTAGTAATTTCCCAGCAGTTCTCTATATGGTGAAAAACTCTGCAGGATGCCAGTTTTCACATGTAGCCCTGGTTCTCCTATTGTTTTCAATGAGAGTGCTGTCCATATACCATGATGGCTTTTATTAATATTATTATTATTATTATTATTATATTCCTTCAGGATGTTGTGATTGTATTGCGTTGCTGTGTGTCCAGTTTTACTTCCTGCCTTACACGAGTAAGATCCGACCAGCACTGTGGGGCAAATGCAGTTTAATGCCAGGTTACATGCCAGAGCAGCATTCCCAATTCCTGCTCCCGACAGCCTTTTCCTCTGACTAGCATCACTTCAGAGGTGTGTTCTAGTGGAGCTCAATTACTAAGGCTGAGCACCCCTCTCTCTCGCTGGAGAGGACAGCACTGGTGTGATATAGTCCTTTTCCTGAACACCAGATGACACTTGGTGAAGGGTAAAACACACACTTTTATTGTCACAAAGCACTCATATTTATAGGGACAATCACAACAGAAGGATATGAACAGTAACAATATGTTCCATCCCTGGCACTGCTGTGTCTAGGAGATAATCAGATCAATTACCGCTAATCTATTTATTAGCTTTATATTAGCTTCTAGACAACAGGGTACCTTAACTGGATATCCCTTAAAACATACATTTAAAAATTAGGAAACACCACACACGTGGTATTTCAGCATAGCTTGTGTTCAAGCTCCCTAACTGGCAAAATAGCGCTGTGATCAGTCACAGGGGGTCTGAGATACGTCCCATTAAAGTTTCAGCGGGTTGTGCCAAAAGTTCCTATCCGCTCAGTAGTTTCACACAGTTTCTAGGTTTGTTCCAGAGGCTCCCTCCCAAACTCAAACCTACCCCCACCTGTCCCCATTCTCAGGGGGATACTGTGACACCCACACATTCCAATAGTAAATTTGCAAACATGTGTTTCCAGCCGAGAATAGTAACCATTACATGTGTGTTATGCATTGGTATCATGTAAATGTGTTTAATGCGCAAATGTGATATGAACAAAGCGTTTCCCATTTGTTTGAATGGGAGAGCAGTATTCTATGAAATATCTAATTCATGGCTGTGGAAGTTGCAGCAGCCAGTCAAGTTTCTGGCGATAGTCTGCAAATAAAGCCTTCAATGTCCTTCCCAAAATAATATTGGAGGAAACTTTATGTACATTTTATGGAGTACACTAATAGGCGCTAACTCCCAACAGTGGGTTGACATACTCCCAACAGTGGGTTGACATATCACACACATACACACTGACACTCCCAACTATATACACAGATATATACACACACACACAGATACACACTGACACTCACAACTACACACACAGATATATATATACACACACACACACACACACACACACACAGATACACATACCTAAACATACACACTGTCACACAAATTGCAGTTGACATTATTTACCACCCCCTGTTTCCATACCTTTTGCTGCAGGGAGGTAAATTCCTGGGGCTAGCTGAGGCTGATGGGGTGGGAGTCTGCCTCCAGAGGTCTTTCTCCTCCCTCCTCCTCTCTCAGCGTGCCTTCAGTCCTCCCAGCCCGCGCAGTCAGTAAGCTGGGAGGAAGTAACAGATAGATAGTCACTTCCTCCCGTCACTCTCTGCTCTGGAGGGGCTCGGTATCGGCTCTCTGCAGCCTTCCCTCCTCCATGCCGCACGATCTCAGTATGCATTCGCTCCATAAGACACATACATTCAGGGACGTTTTAGCCGCGAGCCAAACAAGGCACTTGCCTTGGGCGGCATTTTCCAGGGGGCGGCATTTTCCATATTCCGGCTCCCAACCTCACTCTGCAGCGCGCGATGGAGCTGAGCAAACAGCTCAGAGGAAGTGCTCCCTCGCCAGCCGCCCGCCAGCGCCGCCCTCCCAGCAGCCACTGGACCCCAGGGCTGCCTAGGGCAGCACAAAACCAGGATTCACCACTGCATACATTTCCCCTTACTTTTAAGGAGGAAAAAAGTGTGTCTTATGGAGCGAAAAATACGGTATATGCATTTATTAACATATACACAATTGTTTCCTAATCTAGCTTTGACACTGTGTGTATCTCACCTAGCTGTGGACAAATAACAAGGTCGTTCCTTTAATCACTACACCAAAAAATGGCCAACATGAAAAATGTGAATGTATAATATAGACAATGTCTATTGGAAGATATCCTATACGTTAATAAAGGGAAGCAAAGCCATATCTCCAGATGGTAATAGTGCTTTAAGGACCTTGCTAATGCATAACGAATGCGTCACAGAACTAATGCATTAATACTATTTTAGGAAAATCAATATCTATATGTCAAAGCCTTTCTGACATGGCTACGTTATCCCAGCATGAGCAGCATTTAAAGAATCAATATGATTATATATTGATAGCACATGTGCACAGCACATTTTTTGACTAATCAGTTGGAAGTAAAAAAAACTCCATTTGTAAATGGTACCCACAGATTACAATCCGTTTAAAATAATTACCTTTTGAAAAGGATATGTGTTGTTTTGCGAGAAAGCAGCCTGATTGGGTTTATTGGCATTCATTTGAGCTATTTGTATTTGTAGGAATTGCAATGCAAGCTTTTATAATATAAAAATGCAAAAATGTACTCTGCTGTATCTATATTGGTAACAGACTTACTGATATGATTGTTACTAAACTCAGTAGAGAGAGTGGTAATCATTATAGAAGTATGTGATGACCCTGGAAGAAGAATGCTGTGATTGTTCCTAAAATTGGTTGCAATTATACAAAATAGTTTTTTCACATTTGGCATTGATAAAGCGTTTGATTTTATTAAAGGAGCACTTTAGTTTTGGGAATACAAAGTAGTATTCCTTACACTAAATTGTTCATTGACTCCCCATCTCACCTTTGTCCCCCCACCCGCAAATAAAGGGTTAAAATCCCTTTTTACACTTACCAAATTCCAGCACCGGGGTCCCTTGAAATATCAGTGCTGAAAGTGAACCTAATGGCCAATGCTGTTAGTATGTATTGTACTTACACACATTCAGTGATTATTATTGAATAACTAGACAATAAACCCCTAAATTTATATGGTTATTTTAATTGGGTTCTTGGAAAAGCAACGTAACAAATACATAGTTATTTACCAAAGGGAAAATTGTCAGGAATTCAAATTGAAATTCAAATTTAAAGGAACACTATAGTGTCAGGAATACAAACATATATTCCTGACAATTTAGACCTGATGTGGTATTTTAGGAAACTGGCCCGCCCCAATCGCACTGAAAAGATTATTTTCCTCACCTTTTCTTCTATGCCGTGCCGGTCTCACTGCGGCTGACCCCGCCTGGCTCCGCCTCCAATCTTGGTGATTTCAGCCAATCCAGTTCTTTCGCCTAGCAATGCATTGGCAAAACGCTACACTGTGCCAGTCAGCATCTCCTAATTTTTATGCTTTTAATCAATGCATCTCTATGGGAAGCGTTCAGCATCTCCATGCAGAGCATGGAGAAGCTGAGCATGAGTGCTGCATGCTGTGAGTGACTGCCACTAAAACTGTTTGCATTGAAAAGCCTGGATGGACAGGCTATAGTCACCAGAATCACTGCATTAAGCTGTACTGGTTCTGGTGACTATAGTGTCCCTTTAAGGCCAAAGAAGCTGTACTGGAAACTTCATTAAGTCAGGTTTAATTCAAGTTAGGCTTCTTTGACTTTAAATTTAAATGGAAGCTATAGTCACCAGGATCATTACAGCTTAATGTAGTGGATCTGGTGTCTATAACATGTCCCTGCAGGCTTTTTAATATAAACGCTGTATTTTCTGAGAAAAGACAGTGTATACATTCGTGCCTGTAGAGGCAGTCACTAAGGCGGCCACTTGAGGTGCTTCCTAGTCCAGTGTTGCACAGTGTGCTGCACAGGGCCGGCCTTAGTCCTTTAGGCGGCCTGTGCGAAAAGTATTCACAGCCCTCCTCCCCCGTTTCTTGTATACAGTCACACACACAGGTACAGGCAGACACACAGAGGGGCTGGGGACACACAGAGATACACAGAAAGGGTGTGGGGGACAAAGACATACAGGGCTGTGGGGACAAACAGACATACAGAGGGCTGGTAGGAAAAGGAGACACACAGAGGGGCTGGGAGCACAAAGAGACATAAAAAGGGTTTGGAAAGAGAGAGAGACGCACAAAAATACAAAGGAGTTGGGGAAGAAAGAGACACACAAAGGAAATGGGGCAGTAGGAGAAAGAGAAACACAAATATGATAATTTTATTTGGGATGGTGCAAGTAGCTGGTCTTGCTTTGGGCACTAAATAGTCTAGCACCGGCCCTGCCTGTGAATTCATATTTTGAAATATTAAAGCAAGTGCATGGATTAACTATGGGGGTCACAGAAGGTTGTAATAAATCTCTTAATCCATGTCTGTCTTTGAAGAAAAGAGTAGGTGGTATTAACAAGGATTTAATTGCCCTGTATTGTACATGTCACACTAAATACATTGTCCTGTATGGTTAATATGACAAACTATTTCTTAAATATTAGCCAAAAAACTAATAAAAGAAAATACTCTACCTCAGCTAATTTTCCAACTTGGCTATGTTGACCAAAAATTTTCTGTTCTCTTCAATTCTCAAGATTCTGTGTTTAGTTAATAAATTCCTATTTATGAAATACTCTTGAATTGAGAAGCACTGCAATCTCAAGTTTTCTTTTTTAGAATAGCCCCTTGTTTTAGCCCCAAATCCCGTCCATCTAGCCCTAAAGTCCTTTTTTTTAGGACATGCACAATTTTAATGTGTATAAATACATGGCAGAGCTCCACAGCAATAAAACTTACATTAATGTGTATTTAAACTAAAATACATTTGTTCATAAAACAGTAAGAGACATTGGACTTCTAAATGTTATTTTATAGAAATAGCTCTAAATGGGTTACAAAATGTTTCAATTAGCCACACCCAAGCTGTACCTCCTTAAAGGAAAATACCCCTCTTTAGCAATTTGCAAGGCTAGAATGTATTTACTGAGGTCCTAACAGCCAGTGACTTTTTCAATAGTTGGACTTTATGGCTGTTTGCCCGTGGGATCTATGGACAGTGATTGTACAAAGTGCGCTGTTTATATCCCAAGACATTGACTGCTAAAATTTTATATGTGTCGTATAATTTGGAGTTCTAGAAATGTCAATGCATGCTGGGAAGTTGTCTAATAGCCAAGCAAGTGACATTCAAATATTGTCTTCTGTTCCACCAACAGAAACAGAATTGTCCTATTTTAAGTAGGAAACACAAAGGGCGTACTTGACTGTTTTACTGACATGGCTGATGTGTCTGATGTATAACAACATGTGTTGTGTTTATCTCAGTCCTCATTAAATTTTCTGTTCTCTTATATATGATAATAAACCACTTAAATGTGCAGCTTTCTCATGACATATGCATAGTCGCCTTCTCGGCATATGCTTTACAAAACCCCCAAACTCCCTAAGAATACTTGGACACCTTATTTTGGGGAAATTACCACAGGTTTAATAATGTAAATAAACACATAACATTTGAAGGTCATTGACAACATACATTAAACATTACATATTAACCCCAACTCCTTTAGCAATTCTACCCCAGACACTGACCCACATCACAATAAATGATACCACATTATAAGATATAATTAACATATAAAACATAAACCATTGCCACCGAGAGCATAATTTTCCAGGTTTCATAATGTAGGGGTATACCGAGATCCACCATACACACACCAGGTTCGGAGCTACTAATGAGCTCAAACCTACCAATATCTCTCCAAACCCAACTGTTCTTAGCGAACTAAACTATCTTACATCTGGACAAATGACCTACACCCCAACTTGTCTATCCATCCCCCACCACCGTGACCAAACGGGAGCTAAAACAAAAAGGGAGGGAGGGGAGACAAAAACAGGTAAATGAGGATACCCCTTCTATGCCTGTCTCCTAGCAATGTCAAGGCCCATTCCCCGTAGCTGCGCTGCTCCATGGGCTACAAGCAACATACAGGACCAGAATTGCTTTAATGCCTTCTGTTTAATAAATTGGAACTAAATTGTTATATTATGCACTTATTATTTTTATTTATAGTTGTTATTGGGAAACAAACATAGCATATTTATTTAACGTTTTGTTATTGAATGGTACCTGCAAAGAGACAGTAGCAAACACCTGCTGGAAAGGGTTGGCACTCCCGGTGGGGAGAACAAAGATCTCCCTCACCAGCAAGCCAACTCTCCTGCAGTGGGGCCAAATCGACGGGGAGATCTTCCTACTCAATCTCCCTCACTGGACCTGGTCTATTGCATCAGAGCTTTGCCACTGGTTACACCTGCAACACTCTGATACATTTCCCACACCTGACCAACAGGCATCAGGTGCTGTAGTGGGGGATAGGGGCTGTATGGGATGGGGGGGGGGAAACAATTTCAGTCTAGTTTTTATTTTAGTTTTTTTTAGCTTTTTGTTCTTTTTTTTTTTTTACATCAGTTTAGTATATTTTATTACCTTTTACGGCTTACTTTGGAGGGGGGAACAACTTCAGTTTAGTTTTTTTTTTTTTTTTTTAATTGGAAAATGCACCCCTCCCAATATAAACCCCTATCCCCCACTACAATACCTGATGCCTGTTGGTCAGGTGTGGGAAATGTATCAGAGCTTTTTCTGGGGTAACCAGTGGCAAAGCTCTGATGCAATAAACCAGGTTCAGTGAGGGAGATTGAGTAGGAAGATATCCCCATTGGTTTGGCCCTACTGCAGGAGAGTGGGCTGGTCGGTGAGGGAGATCTTTGATCTCCCCATCGGCAATGATGCCCCTTTCCAGCAGGTGTTTTGCGCTGATGTGTGTGTATATATATATATGAGGGGTGGGAGTGCATTGAGGAAACTGGCCTTGGCGCAGCAAGGAAGGTAAATCCGACTCCGTTTGCAGCATTAGGACAGCAGCGGCCAATAACTTCTGCGGTTGCTTGAGAAATCACTTTACATAGTCCAATTGTCCAACAGAACACTGTGATTCAGACATAGTGTAAACTGATAGCAGCTGGCTTCTATTGGCTTATGGAGACGTTTAGCTCATCCTATGTAATGGATAGAATTGCAGCTGCATTAAAATCACTTGTCCCATAAACTCTGCTGGACTGGACATTATGGGATCATATTAAACCCAATAGACCAGAGTAAAAGAGGAGTTGCATAGCTGCTGACACTGTACATGTGTAGCAAACATATTCTTTTAATGTATGAAAGATGGTTGTCAGTCTTACTTATCATGTCCCTTTAATTGAGAGCCATATAGGTTAAATGTTACAAGCTTTTCTGTTTTTGTTTTTTTCAGTCATAGTAACAAAGATTGATTTCCCACTAGATGCAATAATACCTACTCGACTTTGCAGTAGAAAATTCATTCATTTCCAAAAGATGTGGGCACAAAAACAGAGACAGTCTATTTTAAAGAGAGGGGTGTAAAAAATATACAATAAATATATGTATGTAAGCTTCTCTGCAGCAACTTAAATATGTAGTTTCAGAAGTACCCTAAATTCTGAAAAGAGACTGCTTTCAAAGCTAATAGGAGATGCAGCTTTGTAATCTCTCAATTGAAGGGATGCCCTGAATAAAGCTGTGTGTCTGTGTGTCTGTGTGTGTGTCTGTGTGTGTGTGTGTGTGTGTGTGTGCATGTATGGAGCTGTTCATGATCTCTTAGATAGTTATAAGAGGGTTCAAACATTTTGTGGGACCTGTTAGATGTGCTCAACCTGTACAAGAAAATATCTAACATAACTTCCCCCTGTGATGTCACAAAATACGGGGTCGGCTTTTAACTGCGGAGATTTTTGCTACCGCTACATTGAACCAAATTAAAGGAGACAGGGACAGTGAGTTATAGTGTATGCACTGGGTATTTAAGTCTGGCAGATTTACAACAAATTGCTATGTGAATAATATCTGTGTAAACATCCAATATCCAAAGCATGAACGCGAGCTTCCAGTTTCCTTCCAGTCGGATTAGATATGATGTATTGATAACTCCAATGAAAGGCCTGCTTTGTTCATAACAGGTCTCCTGTCACACAGATCAAAGTATTGCCATGATCACACACTGGTACTCTTGTTTCTACCCATTTATTAGTGCCTTGGATAGAAATACGTTGGTAGTTTAAATATAAAGGAAAATAATGTATGTTGTATTACTTATTTAAATATTGTAACACATTAATTTAAAATACTGTAAACAGTATTTTTGTACTCCATGCTATAAACTGACAACCACAGTTGGGCAATAAAGACAAATGGCTCCATTAAACACGATGGGCTATTGTAGTCCTGCCAACCAGCCATGGGAAGGGTAACATTTTCTTGAAATAGTCCATTCACCATGGTTACTCTAAACAAAAAAAGGCTTCGACAAATGGCCTTCTATTCCAGAAATAATGTGTGATTTATTTTAAGAATTGCTTAGTGTACATGCTGACAATCTAATACTATTGCTTTAACTCTCAGCCAGTTCACTATTAGGTGCTGCTTTCATATATGTAGAAAATAAGCAACGCAATGTATTTTGGAATTGCCGATACAATTGCTGAATTTGTATTTATACAAATTGTGAATAGTATGGGTCATTTCCATGGTTACCTGTTAATGCCGACCAAAAATCTAAATGCGGATTTACCACTGAAACAGTTAAAATGGCAACTTGTCATTATTAAAGGGACACTTCAAGCTTCATAGTCAGTAATATTCCCTGTGTAACAAACAATGAGACAATTACTATCGGCTTCACTGAAGAGAACTGAGCTGCGTGAAAGTGATTTCCTGTAACAAATTCGCACTTTAATGAATAGACATACATTACAACATACATATTAGTTTGCTTTAATGTACATATGTGGTTATGGTGTCTGGAGACTCCTAAGGCCACCCCACTGTTCAATGTGAAACCATTTTTAAATGCTTAACAAGGTCAATGCCATTTCTATGTATAAAACAGTGCCTTCGCATCACTTCACACATGTGCCCTCCTTCTTGCCAACTGTCCATTTTGCAGTGAATAGGAGTCTGGCTGGTATACCCCATGAGCGTCTCCTGCTGTGCGTGAGAAGTATATGCATTTGCCCGTACACAAAAATTGTACTAACTGTTAAGAGAATGTTTAATTTATTTATTTTTTTCCACCAATACAAAAAAATTGGCAGCAGAGCCGTATCAATAATGATCCATTTTATTTGCCCTTATTTTCCACTTCAATAAACCTTATGATTGAACCAAAGCTGCTTGCTCACTGAAGCATCCTGGATGTAATAATTATTAAAGTGCGTATCTTACAGTGTAGTAGATATGAATTTCAACTTGCATGTGAGAGAAGAAACATTAACATTTGCACATGGATCCTACACTCAGTTTAAATGTAATCTGAACCCATGTCAGTGAATTATTGAAATAGGAAAGTGTATGTTCGATCTATGCCTTATTATAATATTGTGATCAATGGTGATTAATAAAGTTTACGGATGGTGGGCAGCTAGACTGCACACCTAGAATTGGCTCTGCTCCCTGACTTGTTCAATCCTTCCCATTTAACCCCATGTACCAAACCCATAACCTAAAGAGAGGCCATGCCCTGTAAACATATAGAACTGCTTAATTGATATACAGAAACCACTTTGAATAGGTCCTATTCCACTCTTATTGCTATTACTCAAAGACAACCCTAGAAGAAAGGACAATACAAAAGCATGTCTTTTAGGATGTCAACCATCCAACGGCCCAATAGAAAGCCAAAGAGTGACATAAAAAAATTCTGTTAAAGCAGACTAACCATGTCTGAAGGGTCTTAAAGAATGGGGACACAATAATGTTTTTTTTTTTTTCATATACAATGTTATCATTAGCTTTTACCACACCATTTCAGTTGATTTTATTGCAACAAAACCCAAGGGCCACAATGTGACCTGTCCGCATGGACCATCATCCATTGCTTGTTATAAAGTGACAATTCATCTATAAAAAAAAAAAAAAACTAAACATTGACCTTCCATTCTAAATATATACTTCTTGCTTTTTACACACTAACAGGGGCTCGCAGAGTGGAACCGGTGATCAAGGATTTTTTAAATCATGTCATTTCGAAAGGAATTTGATAAGTACAAGAATATAAATGAAGATGAAATTCTTAGCAAACTCTCGGAAGATGAATTAAAACAGCTGGAGAACGTTCTAGAGGAACTTGATCCTGAAGTAAGTTTAATGAAGAGATTAATTTTCAGTATTGTTTAGAAACCACAAACATTTAACAGCCTTCAGCCATTTAAGTAATCTCTGTGAAGTGTTCTGGTTTCAGGGTGCTGTTTTATCAGAATTCTAGAACAATTAAAGATTCAAGTAAAATACACATTTTGCTAAAAGCTTTGTATGTTTAACTAATATATATATATATATATATATATATATATATAATGTACAGTGAGGGAAAAAAGTATTTGAACGTTTGCCCACTGACAAATAAATCAGCAGTCTATAATTTTAATGGTAGGTGTATTTTAATAGTGAGAGACAGAATAACAAAAAAAAAAATCCAGAAAAACGCATGTCAAAAAAGTTAAAATACACCTACCATTAAAATTATAGGCTGATCACTTCTTTGTCAGTGGGCAAACATTCAAAATCAGCAGAGGTCAAATACTTTTTCCCCTCACTGTACTCTAGTACAGAAGTAAGCAACCTTCAGCACTCCAGATGTTGAGAACTGCTCTTACACACATAATGCTGGCAAAGCATCATGGGAGATATAGTCCAAAACATCTGGAGTGCCGAAGGTTGCATAGGCCTGGCCTAGTGCAATACCATATAATCTGATGTACTCAGTAGTTCAGTCCAATATAAAAGTAGAAAAGTCCTCCCATCAAATAAAAAAACCTTGTAAAAATTTGTAATTTGCTCACATACAGGGATAACTTACAAAAAGAAGAGGGAGGGGGATAAAAAAAAACAATGATGTGTGAAATGATAAAAAGCTAAAATGTTTATTTTAAATATATTAAAACTTGAATGACAATTATAACAACATACTCTCATAAGAGTTAAAAAGGTTAAAGGATCACTATAGTGTCAGGAAAGCAAAGCGGTTTTCCTGATACTATAGTGCCCTAAGGGTGCCCCCACCCTCAGAGTCCCCTCCCCCCCCTTGGCGCTGGTGACCTCTCCTCCCCATCCGACGTCAGCTACCCCGTCCGACGTCACTGGAGCCAAATGAGCATGTGCGGCGTATTCAAAGTGTGCATAGGAAAGCATTTCTCAATGCTTTCCTATGGACGCCCTGCGCGATGGAGGCGAAATATGCCTCCAGTGTCGCAGATGCACCTCTAGTGGCTGTCCAGAAGACAGTCACTAGAGGCTGGCTTAACCCCAAATGTAAACATAGCAGTTTCTCTGAAACTGCTATGTTTGCATCTGAAGGGTTAAAACCTGAAGGACCTGGAACCCAGACCACTTCATTGAGCTGAAGTGGTCTGGGTGACTATAGTGTCCCTTTAAAAAGTACCCACATATAGAAGTGCAGCAAGTATAAGCTCAGGGACTGTGTCTCTCTGGTGAGTGAATTAGAGGCAGCCAAGCAGAGAAAGAGGTTTCCTTTCTTTTTTTTTTTTTAATGTTGGACTAGACTTATATATATTGGTATTTTATCTTTCATTATTGTCATGTGGTTTTATGAGCTATTTTAGGTCTATTTATACAATTTGTTCTGCTTGATTTTTATCCTTTTGTTCAAATATTTTCCCTGATTGTGCAGCCTCACTATATTACTATTTTGTCGGCAAATATCAAGTAGGTTTAAGGTTATTTCCTACAGACGACTGCTGCCTCCATAGGGAGTAGGATATATATTACACATAAAATATATATATATTTTTTTCTTTCCCTCTCTGCTTTGCACTCTAACCCCATTCTTTTACTTGGATATAAGTTATTTTGTTTTAAACTTGCCCATCTTTAGCTGTAGTTAAAAGCACCACTTACCCAGAGTTCATTAAAGAGGTACCCTGTAAATTATGTCAGGATATGTGAATTCACATGAGTTATTGCTTAGGTTATACTCGTTTTCCTGGCACTATAGTGCCCTGAGGGTGCCCCCACCCTCAGGGTCCCACTCCCGCCGGGCTGGATGGCGAGGAAAGGGTTAAATCTTATCTTTTTTCCAGCGCCGGGCTGGGAGCTCTCCTCCTCCTCTCCTCCTCTTCGGCTGAAAGCGCATGCGCGGCAGGAGCTGCGCGCGCATTTAGCCTGTCTCATAGGAAAGCATTCATAATGCTTTCCTATGGACGCTTGCGTCTTCTCACTGTGATTTTCACAGTGAGAAGCACACAAACCCCTCTAGCGGCTTTCAATGAGACAGACACTAGAGGCCTATAGAGGCTGGATTAACCCTATTATAAACATAGCAGTTTCTCTGAAACTGCTATGTTTGTAAAAAAAAGGGTTAATCCTAGAGGGACCTGGCACCCAGACCACTTCATTAAGCTGAAGTGGTCTGGGTGCCTAGAGTGGTCCTTTAAGAATACAAATGGTATTCATAAAGCTATAGTGCCCTTGTCATTCTTTAGGTGACCGAGCCTTACTGCTTGATTTAAAATAGTGAGTTTTAATTACCTTTTCGCTCTTGCAATGCAGGTCTCCAGTGTTCCATTCCACCTCTTTGGCTGAGATCATCGAGATCGATAATCTCAGTCAATCCATTGCTTTTCCATAAAAAAACATTGAGAGGCTAGTGACATGCGTGGCAAAATGCAGCCCTGCGCCAATCAAATGGTCTCTATGAGGCTATCTGACTGAAATAGTTTTAGTCCACTATTTCACAGAAGTGCTTCTAGTGCCTGTCAGTATGATAGCCACTAGAGGCAGGTTAACTCTGCACTGAAAACATTGCCGTTCATGCAGAAAGGCAAGGTTTCCAGCTGCAGGGTCAAAAGAGGGGGAACATGGCACCTAGACCATGTCATTGATATGAAGTGGACTGGGTGTCTATAGAGTTCCTTTATTGGGACACTGTAGGTACTGTAACTTCTTCCTCTCATTGAAGTCGTTGTAGTGTCTGAAGTCTCCTGGCACTGTCGCTCGAATAAACATTCAACCATTTTTAATGTTTTAATGCTAAACAAAATTCCCCAGCAACCCATTTCCTCTGTGCTGCTTGGGTTAATGAAATAAGCATTGCCTGAGTAGCAATGGAAGGCCGTGATTGGATAAGAGTCAGCTGACCATTTTCAGCCTATCACAGCACCCATTGTATAGTATGAATTGGTATGGTTAGAATGAAGTACCTCAAGTGGGACTCTGGAGGTACTTGGTAGGTGGCCCGGGACTCTTATTTAGTGTTAAACCGCTCAGAAATGGTATAACATTAAATGGAGTGACAGTGCCAGCGGACTGTAGGCAGTATAACCAATCATAAGAGAGTAAATTATTACAGTGCCCACCATGCCCCATTTAGTGATGGCTATTTCCACAGAGCAAGGGTAAGAAATAAGAAGAACAAAAAAATAAGGTATTTAGTTATATATATGCATTACAAAATAATATACATATAGACTGTAATGCACGTCATCCAACATATTAAATTATAATAATTTCCCTAAAGGTTGCTTTCATCATTGACCTGTATATTAACAGAGGGAACTAATACCACAGATAGATAAAAACAAAGCACAGCATTGTTTTCAACCTCAATTATCTGCATGGCACAAGAGAGTCGAAGAGTACATGATCTCATTATGACTCAAAGAACAAAGGATGATTTTACTGCTAATAACCTTATTATAACCCTACTATCAGACATTTATTTCAATAATGTGAACTCAGCAAATTGCCTTTACAATCGTAGAGTTATAGAGCACCTGTAAACACCACTAACGCGCTTCATTCAAAGAGCGCAGTGGAGGTATGACTTATCTTTGCAGCACTTAGTGGAGGTATGACTTACCTTTGCAGCACTTAGTGGAGGTATGACTTACCTTTGCAGCACTTAGTGGAGGTATGACTTACCTTTGCAGCACTTACGGATGCAGGCAATGTCATGTAAAATACTTATTCAGGGCCGTCTTTAATATTGATTGGACTTTACTTGGGCCCCCTGGATCCCGCTTTCCCACACCCTAGCATGCAATCACGCCCTCCACCACAACACACACACACATACCAAGAAAAAACCCACACACCTCGTAGAGTAGTAAACTTTAATAATGTAAACATAAAGAACTGGTTCACAAATAAGTCCTTAGCTTGACCTACTTGCCACCATAGTATATTTTTATTAACAGTTATATGTTGTTGGAAGAACAAGCATAATAACAATATCTTTCAGTAACAGTACAAATCAACATTATTATGTTTAAATTATAAAATAAATAACCATGTTGGCTAGTAATATCACAAAAAAAATAAAATAAAATACAACAATTAACAATTCAATTAAATAAACAATAATAAACCTTATTGTATAATCCAAGTGCACATTTCCCATTCCAATATGGAGAAAGGGAATCAAGTACCAGTGTTAAATGGTCAACCTTATTATAATTCCTGTCAGGCACCAACTGTTGCAGTAGCAGACTATTATAAAAGAATACGTAGTTTAACAACCATTAAGGTAAAGTGCAGAGAACCATTAACGTAAAGTGCAGAGAACTTTTACATAAAATAGTAAATAAATATTTTAGTGCAATTTAAACAACGAGTCTACGTGCTTTCTGAGCAGCATAGGTCTTTCTAATGTTTGAAAAATCAGAAGAAAAAAAGAGGAATGGAAGCTATAGGGAAAGCACTCATAGTGGGGTTAACCCACACAAAACTACCAAGGTAGTAATTACAAAGACAGAACAATTGAGTGCCCTACAAATAATTAAAAATTAACTGTAGATAGCCTGATATAACACAAAGTAATGAGAAATAATACTCTCTATACAATTAGTTGCAATGTATTATAGTATAGAGATTGCAATTCTAAAGTGATAGTCCCTTATTAAGGGTTAAAAATAACATCTAAACATGTAAGATAAGGAGTACATTAGCAAAGGAATAACAAATACAGAGGACCTGTTCAAAAGTTTTCAGTGAACCTCTGGTAAATGAACACTGCATCAATACAATGTTGCAGTATATGATCAACTATGACACAAATTATAGTACTTAGTTCTGTCTAAGAGAAGTCATGTTGCAAATGGTATTGAATGACTTAACGAAAAAAGAAGTCTATAATCACAAAAAATTAAAATAAAAACTGTAGAGAAATCTTATGAGCGGATTATCAGTAAGTGAAATATCAGTGACCCCTTATCAAAAGTAATAATAAAGTAAATGATAAATAGAGTGCCACAAATACGTTCATATACTGGGGGGAGAAAACCCCAATACCTAAAACCGCCCAATTCTAACAGTCATATATAACGGGATTCTGAGGGAAGTGTGGACAGTATGGTAAGTATCCCACACTGCAAGGTATTTGTAAAGAATCGCCGATAGCCCCTGACGCGTGCGTTTCGCCCACAACTCATCAGAGGGGAGAAAAATCAAGACCGCGAAGTATATCAGATTCAGCAGACATTATAGATAGTTTGGTGAGACAGCTCTGGCTCATGGTTGTGCGTTGTAAGTTTTTTATCAATTTCATTTTTTAAAAAGATCGTTCACCTGAACTGTTAGAGATCATTAAAGTAAGGTAGATTTTTAAAGCAATTTCCGTGTTGGGAAAAGTATCTCTTACATTCTTGTCATTAATTGTACTGTACATGAATTGCTCTATGCTGCAATCGTCTGGTTTTTCATCCAGGAAAATAGAAATGAATGACTGAAATTGAATTAGTTCATCACCAAATGTTGTGCCCAGATCATGCTTGTAGAAAGTAGACAACTTTTTTGCTGCAATGTTAATGGATTCAGAGTCCATCGCTGGAAAGTTTATAAAGAAACCAAATAAATCACACACTTCACTGTAGGCTCCTAGGCGATGTTCCAGACACATAAACCCCTTAAGGACACATGACGGAAATATTCCGTCATGATTCCCTTTTATTCCAGAAGTTGTGTCATTAAGGGGTTAAAAGTTTGTCAACACATGGGAGAAAGGCCTTAGCATAAAAGGCCTCCTTTGGCGTTAATTGAGCTTCTTCACTGTGTCCATAGTCAAGTGGCTGCTGACGGACATTCCGACGTTGAAGACGGCGGTGTTCCACAATGTACTCCTCCGTATCTGTTAGACGCTTGCCAGCTTCTTCAAATGCATCAAATTTAGTACGCTGTTCATTAATAAAATCTTTTAACAATTTCAAAACACCAACAGCAGCATTTAGGTTCAGTTGAACAGACTGCAGAGTTTTGCTGCTGCTGTTGAAACGCTGCAAAACAGTGTTCCAGAATTCTGCAAAAATCCCCGTCTCAAGTTTGCTTATCTGATCAAATAGTCCCTTTGCGGTATTACGGCACTCAGATTTTTCTTCAATGTTCGTTGAAAATTCAAACAAAATGTCCATTATATTGTCATAGCCATGGACTAATGCTTGACAAGCATCTGCACGACATGACCAGCGTGTGTCACTTAGCTTTTTTGGCATGGACACAGAGAGGCCTTTCTCGTCAAGCTGGTCAAGCTTCTTGTAGCGCCGAGTTGAACCACTAAAGAATGTATAAAGAGCTTGTACAAAATTAAAAAATCTTACAGCCTATTTATTCATGTTAACAATTCTTGCTTGCATACCCTTGTAGTGGCCAGACATGTTGCTTGCATTGTCGTAACTTTGTCCCCGGCATTCTTGTATGGTAAGTCCAACGCTATTAAGAAATGCTAGGAGTGCATCTGCCATTTCTTCTCCTTTATGCCCTGTTGAGGGTAAAAAAGTAACGAAACGCTCCACAGGTCGATTTTCTTCATTGACAGCCACTAGAGGCGCTTCCACGCTTCTCACTGTGAAAATCACAGTGAGAAGATGCTAAAGAAATGTAAGATGGGAAAAAAAACCACCTTTGAGAGGGCGCTAAACTATACAGGCAAATAAACAAGTTCAATAAAAAATGAACAATTTTATTCTGCACATCATGCAGTTAAAAAACAATAATAAACATATAAAAGATCGCTAAACAGCAGTACAATTATGAGACTCTAAAACAACTTGTGTCTGGACACTGCTATGCTAACAAGCAGAATAGATGGAATACATAGATCTAGGTTGCGATCCTAGGTCTGTATAACTACTTGCAGCTGTTCAGCAACATGCATAGACAAAGAAAAAGAAAGGTCTTAAATACGGTCTCTGGACTGCTGGTTCGCTGGTCTAATGATATCGGCTCAACGCGTTTCGCCCCGCGTTTTTCGGGACTTCCTCAGGAGCTGTGGATGCTGTGATGTTCTTGCTGCCGTTCTTCCTTCTTATATACATTCCATTTTCAGATTTTCGCGCCCTGACGCTGCATTCGCGCATGCGCACACCAAAAACAATTTTATATGTTTATTATTGTTTTTTAACTGCATGATGTGCAGAATAAAATTGTTCATTTTTTATTGAACTTGTTTATTTGCCTGTATAGTTTAGCGCCCTCTCAAAGGTGGTTTTTTTTCCCATCTTACATTTGTTTAGTGGTTTTTATAGGTTTTTTCAGAGTGTACCTATAGAGTGGCAGCTTTTCTACTATAGACTAGTTCTATAGTATCTAGTATCTGGATCCATCACATTCTTTCCATAGAAGATGCTAAAGTCCATAGGAAAGCATTGAGAAATGCTTTCCTATGGACTGATTGAATGTGCGCGTGGCTCTTGCAGCGCATGTGCATTCAGCGCTGATGTCTGAAGAGGGAGGAGAGTTCCCCAGCATCGAGGGAGCCCGGTGCTGGAGAAAGGTAAGAGTTTAACCGCTTCCTCCCCTTCAGCCCGGCGAGAGTGGGACCCTGAGGGTGGGGGGAACCTAAAGACGCTATAGTGCCAGGAAAATGAGTTTGTTTTCCTAGCACTGTAGTGGTCCTTTAATACAACTTACAGTAATGTGAAGTGTATCAGTGTATCGCACGGCTCCACAGCAATACAACTCACAGTAATGTGCGATGTGCAAGTACATCACAGATCACCTCAGATAAAAATGCAGATTTTTTTTAACATTTTATTAACTATCCACAGACTTCAGGTGGAAGGGGTTTTCAATCACAATTTATTTTCCAACCATAACCTTTTTGGCTTTTGCTTATATATATATATATATATATATATATATATATATATATATATATATATATATATATATGTATATCGATCAATAGAGAGATAGAGATTGTAGCCATATTAGTCCAGTGATGTAGATGTAAAAAACAGATAAAATTTGTATCTTGTAATACCTTTTTTATTGTACTAACAGAATTTTTTAATGACAAGCTTTCGGAAGAACCTCCCTTTCTCAAGTCTAAAGCATTTCTGAGCAAGACAACACATAGAATTCAAAGTTGAGTTGTGATACAGGGGTTACAGCGACACGAGTGCAGATAAGACACAGGTTTGATAGAAAATAGACATCATTCTTGCAGAGGGTCGTAAATATCTTTCTGAAGATCAGAATGGGAGGGAGAGGGAGAAAAAAAACAAAAACAAGCAGACAGTGCAGAAGATGGTAAACTTTATACAAACACGCAGTGGTGTATCCTGGTTTTGTGTTGCCCTAGGCATGACAAAACTCAGACGCCCTCCCGCCCCACCCTTCCCCTGCCAATCCCCATTCCCTGCCTTCTAAATACATACACACATTCACTTACAGACACACACTAGCTAACAGACACGCATACACTCTCACTAACAGACACACACAAACTAACAGACAGACACTCATACACTCTCACTAACAGACACACACACACTAACAGACACACACACTAACACAGACACTCACTAACAGACACACACACTAACAGGGCCGGTGCAAGGATTTTTGCCGCTGTAGGCAAAAGTAAAGTTTGCCGCCCCCCCCCCATGTGACATCACAGTGCCCCACCCATATGATCTGCCATGTAAACTAACGCCAGTGCTGCAGTGCCGCCGTGTTTACATTAAAAGGCCTGCAGGGACAGGCTATAGACACCAGAACCACTACATTAAGCTGCAGTGGTTCTGGGGACTATAGTGTTTCTTTAATGTGAGGTAAATTAGAGATTAGTGTCACGAATAATATACTAGATTGCCTACTTACAACCAGATGAGGATGATGATGGGCTCTAGCTGCAGTCTGGTTCCACTGGTCTGGTGTAGAACAGGATCTCTGGAGGCTGTTTGTAACTGTGGTCACAAAATCAATGTTCTGGGAGAACGGGAAGCAGCTCCATTTTTTGGGGGTCCTTTACACAGCTCAAGGTCTGGGTCCCAGGGTCCACCTTCATGTTCCACCAATGAGTTTGTTCACAGGGGGTGAAGTGTGTAGGGGATGTCCTGATATGTGTGTAAGGAATGCATTGTGTGAATCTGTGTTTGTATGTGTAAGGGCTGCAAGGTGTGTTTCTGTGTATGTATGGGATGCAGTGTGTGCATCTGTAAGGGATGCACTGAGTGTGTGTAATGAATGCATTGTGTGTTTCTGTGTGTAAGGGTTGCATTGCTTGTGTATGTATGTCTGTGTGTGTAATGCATTGTGTGTGTAATGCATTGTGTGTTTTTCTGTGTGCAAGGGGTGCATTGTGTGTGATTATGTGTGTGTGATGTGATGGATTGATGGATGTCAGTCTCTCCCCCCACCCCCGTCAACTCCCCCCACCTCCCCACCCCCACCCTTCTCCCCCCTCCTCAATTTCCTTCTCCCCCCTCCTCAATTTCAATTTCCTTCTCCCACCCAATTTCTTTCTCACACCCACACACACACTAACAGACACACACTCACTCACTAACAGACACACACACAATAACAGACACACACTCACTCACTAACAGACACACACACTCACTAACAGGCACACACACGCACTCACTGACACACACACGCACTCACTGACACACACACTCACTCACTAACAGACACACTCACTCACTAACAGACACACTCAAATTTTTTTTTAAATTCAAACCCCCCAGCCTCCTTACCTTTGGGAATGCTGGGGGGGGGTCTCCTTTTCCCTGGGGTCCAGTGGGGCTGCCGGCCGGCCGGTGAGTGCAGGTGGCGAGGTAGCACTGATTCTCCTGTTCAGCTCCCTCGCGCGCCGCAGAGTGATGCTGGGAGCCGGAATATGAGGCCGGCAGGGGAGGTCCCAGGATCTCCCCTGCCGGTCTATGCAGGGCCGGCGCTATCCGAGCGCCGGCCCCGCTGTTTTCCATAGAGGGCCGGCGGGGAGATCAAAGCTCTCCCTCACCGGCCCACATGCTCAGATCTGGCCGCCGGCGGGGAGGGAGGGAGCCAGCCAGCCAGGAGAGGAGGACCCGGCGGAGCTCTAACTTGCATCTCCACCGGGTTCCTCTCGCAAGATCCGGCATGTTGCCATGGCAACGTGCCGGATCTTGCGAGAGTGAACTCTAGCCCAACAGGCTAGAGTTCACTCACCCACGAGGACCACCAGGGAACACTGCCTCCCAGTCCCAGGTGCCAGCGTGCTGGTCCCCCCCTCCCAGGCTAAAAGGTAAGAAGGGAGGGGGGGATTTAATGCCTGTTTTTTTTTTTTTGCCCCCCCAACACACACAATCCATTCTAACACTTATACAGCACTCTCACACCTATCACACACAGCACTCTCACACCCATCACACACAGCACTCTCACACACCCGGCACTCTCTCACACCCGGCACTCTCTCACACCCGGCACTCTCACACGCACGTACTGCACCCCTCACATACACACAGAACCCCCCCAACACACTGCACCACACACATACACAATACTTCCAAATATATATATATACACATATACACACACACTACACTCTTAACATACACACTCTGGATCCCCTATACACACACTAGATTCCTTGTAAGCAAACACATACTACACCCCTAAACACACACTACATCACCTATATACACACACACACACACACACACACACACACTATAGCCTGTATGCACACACTTGCTATATCCCCAATACACACATTCTCTACAGCCCATAGCCACATATGCATCACATGACACCACTTTACACCACAAACACAACATGACTAAAACCAACCTTATTACACAATACCACACCACAATCAGCTCACTCTACACACATGCAATACCACAAGCAGGCTCCAAACACATGCACAATACTCTTTCCTGGCATTTTTGTCTCCTGGTATCCATTTATAGAGACACCAGAGACAAGTTGCAAGGAAACACAGTGCAAACATGTTTTTAAATTTGCTTGCACTGTGCAGAACAAATACAGAGCTTTTTTCTCATGCTAGAGCTCTTCAGCAGAGCTCTGCGCATGGTCTGCCCTGGGAGAGCATTGAACCAACATGCTCACTTTGAGAGGGGGCGTGTTTGTCATTGGTGATGACAAAACACACCTCCTCTGCCCCGCCCCCTTCTTAGTTGGCCGCTGTGTTAAAAAAATGCCCGGGCCGAATTTTTCTCCCAGTCCGACCCTGGATGTATATGCAAACACATAAACACATCAACACATATACATATAAATACACATAAACACATACGTACATGCACATGAACTCATATACACAAATATAAGTGCATAGTCACAAATATCAGCATGCATATAAGCATGTCTCCCCTCTGATCTCTATAACAGTCCCTAGATATTGAATTCTCTCTATCAGTGTTAATCTATATTGGGATTCTATACAAAAGATGAGAATATGTGGATATATTTTATCTTAATCAAATTTATATATTGTATAAGCTTTATATGAATGTCTTTGTATAAAATGGAAAATTTTATATCTAACTAAATAAAATAAATATTTTTAAAAAAATATGTGTTTTTATTGCATTCAGCAAAATCTTCGTCATGTTTTCTATACGTCACTCCCTTGATCCCTGTTATCCCTGTTAGAATTAATAAATGTATAGTAAGTGGCAAACACCGGCCCAACATGTCTAGCTGACACCACAAAGGAAATAAGGGTATACATTCTGCAAAGAGTTAATGAATCTGACTTTGCACTAATTAATAACAGTCAAGTTACTTACCAGATCTTAATTATGTGGCTTAGGTTTTGTATTTTCTTGGCTGTCTCAATGCGCTCTCCTGGCAGCAGGTCTCCATATAGAAGCCAATAAAAATAAAGAAAAACTCCTTATTGACTTCAAAGTCACCTTAACTGGGAACAAATGACCGCTTCCATGTAGCTAGATATTAAACACGTCTTCTCTTTAGAGGAAGAAAATGTACTGAAATTTTCATCTCATCGGGTGAATTTGTAACGTTAGCTCACCTTAATGTGTTGCCCCCAGTTACAACAGTGGGCTTGGTTTATGGCGCTTGTATCAGTGGAACATTTTGTTTGGTATCCTTGTCAGCAGAAAAGTAAAAAATAAATGTTTTTTGTGTTCGGTAACATAAAAAAAACTAGAACAATAAGAAATTGCTGACATCTCCCAGTTCATTCACTGTTTCTCCCTATACCTCTGGTGTAGAGCAAAGCTGACCATTATATCCCTATTACTTAGTTTCTATGTATTTCCTATTGGTTGTAACTAGTGATGTCCCGAACGGTTCGCCGAACGGTTTGGAACGGTTCGCCACGAACGGTTCGCCACGGACTCATCATTGAGTAAACTTTGACCCTGTACCTCACAGTCAGCAGACACATTCCAGCCAATCAGCAGCAGACCCTCCCTCCCAGACCCTCCCACCTCCTGGACAGCTCACTAAGAATGCAGCTTCACAATGAATGTAAAATGGATGCTGTCCAGGAGGTGGAGACTCTGAAGGCTCTGCTGGACCAACTGGCAATCACCACTACAAAGACGAGTCGCCTGCACGTGGCGCGGTCCCTTGGCTGGACTATCACCATCACTAGATTCTTTCTACAGTGTGGAGGCATCTCTGGTAGCTTTATGTTTGATTAAGTAGACAGGCGCTCATCCAGCCAGCATTTTGAGCAGGATCCCAACCCAAATAAACCTAAAAGCAATACATTAAATAAAGCTCTGCTGCACTGTATAACTATATTTGGATGTTTATTAAGTGACCATGAGGACTTGGCAACATCTCAACCCTGTTAATGTCGAAATATTGCCAGGTTCTTATGGTGACTGAAAAAAACAGTGTGACGTGTCCTGTTGGCTGTCCTGAATGATGCCCCAATTCATACCTCGTGAAAACTGTGCAGATTGGTGGGGGATCATTGTTTTCTGCAAAATGGTCATATAAGATGTAGCTGTGTGTTATATCCTTGTAACTTACATATTATTCATCTGTTGCTATTATTTTTGAACATTTGCACAACTCCCCAGGTTCTTAAAAGAAAACAAAATCCTATACTTGGTTCTTTAAAATTTTTTTACAAAATCTAACAAATAACAAGTTATACCACATTGACATAACGTAGAATTTCTCATGTAATTAGGTTTAGTAGTCCTAACAACAACATGTATAAAATTATTTTTTATTGCATTCAGCAAAATTTTCTTTGTGTTGTCTAAACGTCACTCCTTTGATCCCCCTGAGAATTAATAAATGTATAGTAAATGGCAAACACCGGCCATCATCAACATGTCTATGTGACACCTTCTACCTGCTGTGTTTTAGAATGCACTGTTACCCGCTGGTTTCCGACAGAAGGACCAAACAACTAAAGAGGCATCTGGGACTTTTGACCGAGAACATCTTCTGGCTTATCTCCAGAAAGAAGCTATGGAGCATCAGGACAGAGAAGACTGTGTTCCTTTTACTGGAGAGAAGAAAGGTAATATTGACCAGTCATGTGCATTAAAACATTACGATGGGTGATATCTTCACCTATGCTAGTCAACATAAACATGTAGCAAAGATCAGTTATTGTCATTGTATTTTATATTTAAAGAAATACCACAAACTTTTGTCTGTCTTCGTTAACCTAGTGTTGTTATATTTGCATCAATTGTACACCACACCTTATGAGATAATGAAGTTAAAGACCCCCGATGGTGACATCACTGCTAGGGGTCTGATGGCCAGGAGGACAGGTAAAGGTAAGTTCTACTTACCTGAACCTGCCCTTTGCTGGCATGGTCATCTTCCTCTTCTAATGATACATCCTCCCTTCGTCCTGTCTCTTTTGGAGTCCCCCAAGGCTCTGTCCTTGGTCCCCTTCTATTTCTCTTTATACCGCCTCTCTAGGCAAACTTTTTACCTCATTTGGATTTTAATGCCACCTGTACGCTGATGACACTAAGATATACCTCTCCTCCACGGACCTCTTCCCTGCCGTCCTGCAACGTGTCACTGCTTGCCTTTCTTCCATCTTTGATTGGATGTCCTCCTGCTTTTTGAAACTCAATCTCTCTAAAACTACTTCTAATACTGATCCTCCTCCTTCACTCTCCCTTCAAGTTAGTGGTACCCACATCAGTCCATCCTTTACTTTCCCTCCTACATTCCCTTTATTGGTCAAAATATAATCCCTTTGTGGCTGCCCCCCAACCATCAAACATCTTTTTTTTTCTTTTATGCCATGGATGGAACTCCAAATCCCAAAGCAAACAAACTGATTTGTGCATTGTATGTCATGATTTGACCACACAGCAGTTTTGCAAGCAAATGTATAGTTTGGGAGACAAAAACTTTTTACAAATAAGTTTTCCTCCTACTTCTCAGTCAAATATTTGACATATATTTGACATATATTCTTTGCCATTTATTTGACTGACAAGGGAGAGAAGAAAATACCTACCAGAGGAGGTCATTCTGCCTTCCCAACCATAGCAACCTGTTTTTTCTCCCCAGATGTAATCAGGCTTCTCATAGAATGTTGTATGAGAAGCAATGAATGAAGATAGTAAATGGCAAGACTTGAGTCAAACTCCTCTCTGTACGAGGAAACACCATCTAGTGGTTTTCATACTAGCGGTCACTGGAGGTGTGTTTAGCCCTGCAATGCAAACATCATCTCTAAAAGGGTCATGTTTTACATTGCGGGAGCAAAACTTACTTATTTTACCCACCATTGTGACGTTAAAAGAGCTAAGCTGGCTATCACTGGAATCCTGACACACTCTTCATCTTTCCAGCCTTGTGCTTTTTTCTTTCTTTCTGGGAAGCTCCCACCCTGCCTGAGTAGAATGCTCTCCCCAGCAGTTCCCACCTCCTATTACCTCCGATCCAGCAGTACTAGCACGATATTTAGCATACCGCAATACAAAAATAAAGTGGCTCGATCCTCCTTTTCCTACAGAGCATCGCAAATTATGAAATAACCTCAGGGATACAGTCAAATCTTCATTCGATCTAAAATCTTTTAAGAGATCTATGGCAACGTACCTCAATACAGAATGCACCTGTCATGGCTAACTATATTTATTACCTATTATGTGTTACATTTATACATGTGTGTGTGTGTATATAAATATTGTTTGTATATTGTCTTTTTGTTATATTGTATTCTATTGAAACAATGCAATGTTTTGTGGACCCAGGACATACTCGAAAACAAGAGAAATCTCAATGTATCCATCCTGGTAAACTATTCTATAAAGAAATAAAACGCCAGGTGCATTAGCACACACAGACCACTTCATTGCGATGAGGTTGTCTGGATGCTTATAGTGCCCCTTTAACACCTGGGTCGTGACCCATATACAGTCCCCATGATGCTATTTCAGAAGGTCCTCAGTGGAAATGGCACATCAATATCATCACCGCCAATATAACCGCCCATAGTAAGTTATTTACTATAGCGAGATTGCTTTCTCCAATGCCAGACCCATGTGACACTGTGGTGGGTTATATTTAGGTGTTCTGTAAAATGCATTTTAATGGTAAATTACAATTGAAGAATGGGCTGCCAAGCTAATGGCATATTTGTAATTTGTGTCCCTGTCAAAAAAAAGAGTTAAACTAGTCCTACGTACAAAATAAATAAATATGTTTTTCATCTGTGTAGGGGGCATGCGTTGCTATGTATGCTCTGTGGGCCCTGGGTTTATTTATGACGTTTATTGGTGAGGCTTGCTGGTTTGTACTGATCTTTAGTGCATTGAAAAGGACATGTGTTTTTTATTATGACGTAAGAAATTACTAAATGTTTCCCATCTGATAAATTAGCAGGAGAAAAGGCTGTTCTGGTCACCATCCAAATACTCTAATGCTTATATCCATTGCTATAATGTACTTTTTGTATTGAATTATCATGTAAATTTTGCCAGAATTAATTTTTATAGGAACATTTGTAGCTCTTAAAGAACTGCATGTTAATTTATAGTTAAAAAAGGAATAGTATACGCTAACACACAGGTTATAGCAGTGGTTATGATGCAGGAAGATTTCAGGCACAGACAGTCCCTCTGATTTCCATAAAACACTGTTTTCAAGTCATTCATTATTTGCATTATTCTTAAAAAAATGAACAGCAGTTGTAAAATCTTTGTGCCAGGCATAATCTATTGTATACATTTGCTAAAACAATGCTATAACAAGCATTGTTATAATGCAGAGCTTATAGAGGTACAACCTCCCCCCTTCATCCCCCCCTATACATCCATATACATCCAATCAATACAGCTGATTGACACATACTGTTAAAATTACATTTTGGTTTGAACACTACCTTCTATCGCATATGTTGCAGTGGTAATTCTGCCCCTCTCAGCCTGCAATTTACATTAATGCTGTAAAACACTGCAGCACATGAAGCTGTGATTTCTAGGAGTTGCAGTTCATCTGTTTGCTTTGTACGGTATAACATGGAAAATTGAAGTCCCTGAAACCCTTGATATACTCGTAAAGCTCTGCTTATTTAAAAAGTTCAACAGAGCTAAAGAATTTTAAGTGAGCATCAGTCAATTCCTTCTTTAGAGAGCTTTCCTTGCAGTAGCTGTACGGCATTGAGATTTACAGCAAATGCTGGAACTTCTAACTTGTGCGTAATTTAATGTGTTACAAGAAGAAAGGATACGGATCAGCCTGGAGTGTCCCTTTAAGACAGCAGCTTGATAGACACTGCTTTACTGGTTGTTAAATAGGGGTAGCCAACAAGTGTCAGGCTAGCAGCAGCTGTCTAGTTATCTACAAGGTAAGAGTAACAGATATGTCATTGCAGTCAATGGTGTAGACTAGAGGATAATATTCATTATAGCTTGCAATATGAAGGTAAGGCTGCTAACTGATACGAATGTAAATGCTTCCAAGCATAATGTGGCCCATCCACAAACTGTAGATTGTACAGTAGATAGGGAGTCACAGGTGGCTTTGGGGCTTAGGGTGCTATGGGAGAGGTACCAGATGGCATGCCAGGGCTGGAGATAGAATTGTTTCACTGTATATAGGTGGAGGGGGCTTGTATTCTATCTGTTGTATTGGGTGGCAGTAAAGGAGGTTAATGAAATAGGACAGGAATTCCAAAACGTCAATCTGCTGGTGTTGCAAAACTACAAACCAAAAAAGCATTATGGGAGTTGTAGTTTTATTTTTTATTTTTTATTTTTTTTAACTATAGCTCTACTAAAGTGCTCTAATTTAGGTGTAGCAGAATATGTTCTGATATGAATCTGGAAAATATTACAAGCACGCAGACACACTGATTAAGTCAACTACTTTCCAAGTATATATGTATATAAATAACTTGCTGATGGTGTGTAATTGATCATACAATCAATTAAATACAATTCCTGTATTAGTGATTGAAATAATATATCCCAGCTTTTACTCTCGTGGAGGCAAAATGTAGGACACAGCATCAGCAATATAGATAAAGGCAAAATACATCCATAGGGAAAAAAATAATGGTCTAATGTACCTTTCATCAGTAGTGAATGAGGAGGTTGTAGTAATAACTGGAAAACTTGTATAAAAGATTCAAAAGCACTTTTTATGCCACTACGGTAAAGGCATATTACATTAACTTAGTTACCTGTGTGTTGAATGCTAGACATGCGCAGCTGAAATCTCTCATGCTTGCCTTCATACGATGATGCTGGGGATGTGATTGATTCCCTAAACATAGCATTAGGTGTTGCAGTGATGTCATACCCTAACGCCAGATACACTGTATGTAATAAGTTCACATTGCCTGTCACTTTAGAACTGTGCAGTTATAAGATTTGTAATTGTGGAAGTGGTTATTAAGAGAAGAAATGAATGTGTGGCACTGGCTTACATTGGAGGGAATGTGTTGCAGGGAACCAAAAGTGGCAAAATGGTCCTGTGTGTTACAGGTAATAGGAGGAGGGGTGATGGAAAAGGATTGTGCAGCATGTGCATTGCAAACATAGATAAAGTGTGTTGTAAGTATTTTGTGGGATATCGTTTTCTGAGTAGATGGACAGAGAATTGTATTTTCATCTTAATGTGGCTTTATAAGACACAAAAGGAATGTCAAGATTAAATAGGAGCCGAGGAATTCTATCACACTATATATTGTGATACCCATACCATGGTTACTGTATGTCATGCACCAACCTCTTCCCATCACACAGTCTCCTGAACTCTAGTAAACTAACGTGAATGACAGACATCATTAACATGGTGTGCGGTGGTGCCTGTAAGACTGGGACAAATGGACACAGACTTGTTAAATTTCCCTTAATAATATTGTAAAGCACTTAGGAATAAGTTGGCACTGTACAAATGCCAAAAATAATAATAATATATGCCTGTGATGGAATGCCACTGCCTGCTCATGGTGATGTCATGTATTATGCTGGGTGCATTTTTTTTATTTTTTTTTAATAATTCTTTATTTTTTCATGCACGAAAAATACAGAGAGGCAAGCTATGCCACAACAGTTATTGCCAGCTCATCGGTCAACATTTAAAAACAATTGTTTGGCAGCTGGGTGCATTTTTAATCTGGTGTGGCTTTGAAAATGGAACAAGATAACCTCTCAATGTATAAGAAAAGCATTAGAATGACAATTACCCATTGCGTGCATTTGTGACTTACAATTTGCCCACCTGCAGACTTACCAAAACTTTAGATGTATTCTACCTGCTTTCTAGCTTTAGTGATGGCAAACAGGGCCGGACTGGGAAAAAAATTAGGCCCGGGCATTTTTCAATCAGAGCGGCCCCCTAAGAAGGGGGCGGGGCCAGAGAGTGTGTGTTTTGTCATCACTAATGACAACACGCCCCCTCTCAAAGTGAGAATGTTGGTTCAATGCCCAGAGCCCTGCTGAAGAGCTCTGGCATTAGAAAAAGGCCCTGAATTTGTTCTTCGCAGCGCAAGCAAATGAAATAACATGCTTGTGCTGTGTTTGCTTTTAAATTGTCTCTGGTGTCTCCACAAGTGGGATACCAGAGGACAAATGGAAAGTGCATGGTGCATGTGTTTGGAGCCTGCTTGTGGGATTGCGTGTGTGTAGAGTGTGGTGTGGTATTGTATAAATAGGTCAATTTAATTTGTGTTTGTGGTGTAATATGTGTGGCTAGGGGCTGTAGAGAGTGTGTGTATAGGGGGCATAGTTTTATAGGGGATGCAGCGAGTGTGTGCATACGGGCTGAAGTGTGTGTGTATAGGTGACGTAGTGTGTGTAGGGGTTGCAGAGAGGGTGTGTTTAGAGAATGTTGTATGTGTTTGCTGACAAGGAATGTAGTGTGTGTGTGTAGGAGATCTACTGTGTAAAGGACCCAGTGTGTGTGTGTGTGTGTAGAGGATAAAGAGTGCATATAGAGTAAGGGATCTAGTGTGTATCTGGAGCGTAATGTGTGTAGTGGTGCAGTGTGAGGGGTGCTGTAGTGTGTGTGTGTGTGTGTATGTATATATATATATATATATATATATTTGGACTTATTGTATGTGTGAGGGGCGCAGTGTGTGTATGTAAGAGGGGTGCTGTGTGTGAGGGTGTTTTTATCTGCTGTCACATTCTAGGTTTCTAATTTTCTTTGTCTGTTAACTCACTGAGGGTTATTTTATATATATATATATATATATATATATGTGTGTGCTGTATATGTGTGGGAGTGTGCTGTGTGTGTCTGTGTGCTGTGTGTGTCTGGGTGCGCTGTGTGTGTCTGGGTGCGCTGTGTGTGTCTGGGTGCGCTGTGTGTGTCTGGGTGCGCTGTGTGTGTCTGGGGGCTGCTGTGTGTGTCTGGGGGTGCTGTGTGTGTCTGGGGGCTGTGTGTGCTGTGTGTCTGGGGCTGTGTCTGGGGGCTGTGTGTGTCTGGGGTGCTGTGTGTGTCTGGGGGGTGCTGTGTCTGGGGTGCTGTGTGTGTCTGGGGCTGTGTCGGGGGTGCTGTGTGTGTCTGGGAGTGCTGTGTGTGTCTGGGGGTGCTGTGTCTGGGGCTGTGTCTGGGGGTGCTGTGTGTGTCTGGGGTGCTGTGTGTGTCTGGGGGCTGTGCTGTGCTGTGTGTCTGGGGGGTGCTGTGTTTGTCTGGGTGCGCTGTGTGTGTCTGGGTGCGCTGTGTGTGTCTGGGTGCGCTGTGTGTGTCTGGGTGCGCTGTGTGTGTCTGGGGGGTGCTGTGTGTGTCTGGGGGGTGCTGTGTGTGTCTGGGGGGGTGCTGTGTTTGTGAGTGAATGTATTTTTTTATTTAAATATTTTTTTTTACTAATTAAAAAAAATATATATATATATATTTCCCCCCCCTCCCTTCTTCTCTACCTTTATCCTGGGAGGGGGGGAGGAGATCCGTTCTGTCATCCTTCCCTGGTGGCCCAGTGGAGAGAGTGAACTCTAACCTGCAGGTTAGAGTTCACTCTCGCGAGATCTGAGCGTTGCCGTGGTAACCGTGGCAACGCTCAGAATCCCGCGAGAGGACCCGGCGGAGCTGCTTGTTAGAGCTCCGCCGGGTCCTCTCTCCTGCCTCCCTCCCTCACCCAGCCGGCGGCCGCATTTCCCTGCCTCTGGGCCGGTGAGGGAGATCTTTGATCTCCCCACCGGCCCATGGAGGCGCACAGCAGGGCCGGCGCTCGGATAGCGCTGGCCCTGCACGGGCTGGCAGGGGAGATTCTGTGATCTCCCTGCCGGCCTCGGCCCCACAGCCATCGCGGCCCACCGGGCATTTGCCCGGTATGCCCGATGGCCAGTCCGGGCCTGATGGCAAATGCTGGACAGCTGATGGTATTTGCCAAACTTTCAGAGTGTAGGATGTTTTGTGTCTTAGTGTCTCATCTTGCATACACTATATAGATTGCAAAATTGCCATATATACAATTCCTCAAATATCATACATGGTAAAGCCCTAACCACATCTAGACAATCCCTTTGTTTTTCTGCTTTTTAGACTTAAAACAATAACTTGATGCATTGGTTCTGGTGCACATAAACTGTCCCTGGAGTCTGATAATAGTAAACACTGACTTTTCTGAGAAAAGGTAGTACTAATATTTGTCTTTAAAGGGTCAAGTTGGACCCCTAAATCATTCAGCTTGCCAAAATGCTTTATGTGTGAATAGTGTGTTTTATTTTTTCACTTTACAAAAAGTAAATTGGCACTTTTATAAATTAACTTTGTTACATCCCCCCTTCCCGACTGTCAACGAGTCAACAGGTCTGGTTACTTCCTGGTTGTTTAGCTCAGTGGAGCTAAACTCAAGAGGCAGAGAATTTCTCAGAACACCTGCCTTGACAAGATTTCTCATTTAGCTGCATTGGGAAGTCTGTGATTGGACAATGAGCGGGGTTACTAGGGGAGGGCTTGCACAAGTTTCAGACAAAAAAAATCTGCAGCTTTTGCAAACAAATTTTAGATATATGTTCAATAAAAAAAAATTCAAAATAAAATGCATACATGTTTTCATCATGGGGTATATATACTAAACAGTGAATTAATACATTTTTGGATATGAGTAGTGAAGTGTCCCTTTAACGAGACTGCTAGTGACTATAATTCAGACAGTCTGTAGAGGTGCTTCTTGTTGCAGTCCTTCAGACATGGCAGATGCTGAACACTCCCTACAGAGATGCTGATTGCTGCAGTGTGTCACTTGCTTTATATGTGCAGCAGTCCCCCTAATGCTTCCCTATGTGGAAGCATTGGAGTGACTGAGATCATCATCGCTAATCACCTCAGATGGGGAGGAGTAGCATAACCAACTCTACATGGGCTTGAAGGTAAGTGTTACGACCTGCAGTGGTTATGGTGCTGCGGTCTTCTGTTCCCTTTCCCAACAGCTGAGCATGAGTGATTATAGCTGCAGTAGGGAGTAGAGGAATAAGGTAGATGAAATGCAGTTCCAAGGTGATTCTTCCCAGCAAGTAGAATATCCCCTAAACATGAACCTAGACTTCATGAAGGGTGTAACAGGAATTAATTTTATTAACACACGCGGGCTTTTATGAGAAATCCTCCTGCAAGAGGACCTCCCACAGCAAACAAAGACAACAGCCAATCAACGTACAGATTTACAGTAATACACGCCTCCTCTCTGCCTGGGAGATATTGAGATAAGTTAAGGAATAAACCAATTCTCTCCAGGCAGAGAGCACACAATCTCCCCAAAACTTAGAACACCCCTTTCCCCACAAGGTATCCCCACAAATTACATATCTCCTGATAGCCCCGATCTGAGGGACAAACATATCCAAATTTCACCCAGATTGTTTCAGGGGTTCTAAAAAAGTGTGGAGGGTCCCTTTTACCGACCACACACGCGGCTCCTGCCAAAACAGTTCCATGAATTCAGCGTGTGCGGTCGGTCAATTCACAAATCTGTAAAAAACTAACAAAAGTCCTGAATGGATCCCCCTGGCTCATAGCAGCGATTGCTCCCCTTGTCCGTTCACATAGAACTACCGAACGGCGCTTCCCTGGCTGTTCGGGAAATACAAGAAGCTGGCGTTCGGTAGTTTCAGCAGTGGTTCGCGAGGTCGAGTGTCCGATTTTAGTTCCAGACACTCGACGACCAAGTCCCGCTGACTCCCCTCGTGTGAACAAGATGGCTGCCGTTTTCTATTCCACGTGGCATTCGGCTATACGAACAGCGGCCACCCAGGAAGCACTTCATAGCTGGTTCCTTTGTAGTTAGCAAGCCAGGAGGGTGGTCCGCGTTCGGTAGTTTCAAACTAACGAACGGATACATTCACTATACAGGTAGTACACAGGAAAAATACAGAATAAAGAAGAAAATGTAAATTAAAAGTCAATTTTCTTAACAGTAAGTACATCTTTATTACTACTAAAGGGGCCCTAAATGTAGATAGGCAGTGAATCATTCTAATGTTAGAAACCCATGTTTGTATTGCTATATTAGAGTGCTCCTTTAACAATCAGCTGTACAACTTCAGTAATAATAATTGACACCAATATTTGAGAATAAAGATAAATAAAAAGTGACATTGAAACAATTTAGCAGGCTTTGCAAACAGAAATGGCTAGAAAACATAAACAGACCTTCTTTACAGTTCCAAACGGAATTTAAAGCGATTACTCCAGAACAGAACATTTCACTTTTATATTTATATGTTTGCTGGTGTAGTGTAAATAAATTAGTTGCAATAGCTAACAGAGATCAACGTTCTGTACAATGAAGAAAAATAGCTAATCCTGAATATTTTGACTCTTATCTCATAACGGATGTTTGTCTAAAAATAAACATATGAAAACGCGTTCCACATGGTCTCAGTATTGTCAGGAAAGCGGTTTGTGTGAATGAATTGTTTGGTTTTAGGCTAAATGTGAAAAGTGGAACCAGAAACACATGCCAATAATTGTTGTGTGCATATAGAGGGAAACTATGATTAAAGTAAAATGGTATATGCATTATGTATTTGCTATTAGAAACATCCATCTAATAATCACAGGGGATCACATGTAACTGTTTTGTGAAAGTGATCATGAGAATCAGATTTCATGGTTGCTTCTTCTGTGATCTTGACAATACTATTTCTATATTTCTGAGTTTGCAATCCCTATATGCTATTGGCTCTTTGGTCCTAAAATTTAGAATAAAAGTATGGCGTTATGAATACAAACCTGTCCTAGTTGCTGATAAGGATTAGCGCTCCCCCTGCCTTCCGTAAAAACCTGAAAAAAACGTATTTGCCTTTTATCCGCTGCCAAAACTCCTTCGGCGCAGCCACACATCCCTCCTACCATGATGTCCTCTCTTTCTTGCTGCGACAGTCCGTCTAATGCTTTTCATAGTGCAGCATTGGACACTGATGTGCATGTGAGTTGAGTACCGTGCATGTATCCAAATGCTTTAATTCATTACTTTCCTATGAGCTTCAACCTCACGTGTCCGAGTTTTACTTGATCAGTGCAGTGGAAGCGCCTGTAGGGGCTGACAGGAAGATATGAAGTGGTCTAGGTGATTTAAGTGGTCCTTTAAAATGCCTTAGTCAGTTCCCAACAACAACACAGTTCAGTGACTAAAATCTCACACAATTATATAGTTACACTTCAATCTCAGTAAGGTCGAGATATCCAAGATGGAGCTGCTACTGCAACCAAGAGGAAGGATAAAAAGAGACCTTTCTCCTCTACTGAGGATATCCCATTACTTGTAATTCTAATGGATGTCATGGTGAATTATGGAAAATAATTCACAGGTATGGCATCTTTCTATTAAATTATTGGATTGCAAATATCAGATTTTTTACGTAACACAGCTTTAATTATATATATCTGAGCTGTTTCAGAAAATATTACATTTATTTTCTGCTTCTCCTTTCTTACTTCTATAGACTTAAAACTAGATAATCCCTTCTTAACATACCTTTGATCCTACAAATACATTGTACATGTATATTCCATAGGACTGATACAGATTGACAAAATCGGGCACTGATATCCTACCCATACTATTGGCTTTTAAGGCTTGCTTTAACCCCTTAAGGACCAAACTTCTGGAATAAAAGGAAATCCATGACATGTCACACGTGTCATGTGTCCTTAAGGGGATAAAAGCCAGTTGTATGGGTAGGATATCATTGCCCGATTTTTCTGAAAATTCAGGTGGGAGTGGTTTCTGAATGCTGATGTGAGCACTAAAATTACTCTATTGACACCAAAAACCATATTAAAGCGGCACTGTCATGCCGAACTTACCTTTCCTCAATCGCTTCCCTTTCTCTCTCTCTCTCAGGATCTGTTCTTCATTTCTTCCTGTCTGCTCTAGTTTTCTTTAAAACATAAGACAAAGTAGGGACTACACAAATAATTTAAAGGGGTACAGTAGAATAGCAAATAGTATAAAAATATAATAGGATGATTGGTTGTGAAGGAAGAGGCACAATCATCTGAAAGATCCCTAAATGTCCTGTTACCAAAAACAAGTAACATTTAATTCAGAATAGGATGTCCAATTATGGAAATAATGAACCAAAATTACAGAAATAATGAAGAATATTATTATAATATTCTACAAATAAGGCAACTAAAAAAGGTGTTATCACATCAAATCAGGAAAGCCTAACACACCTTAATAGGCACAAACCGATGGAGAAAAAGGAGAAGACATGTCATGGAAACCATCATATTTTGAGATTAAAGTACGTCTGTCACCTTCTTTGGTCTTTGAATATTTTTGGGCGAGTAATGTTAGAATCTTTAGAAGGATTGTTGGGGGCTGGATTTTAAAAGTTGCAAGCTTCATTGTAGGGTGGAACGTTCTGGATATCTAGATATAAAGTTATTAATGGTTATTCTGTAGGTGTGTGAGATGATCCAAAGCAGGTCCTGTGCACTTTCCTTGCTCTGGTAGTCATCAGAGCACACATAGAGTGCTTAACACCCAGCACTCCTAAGAAACCAAGTCCTACAGAATCTTCTGAGCAGAGACTGGGCCCCTTAAAACAGCATTAACACCCAGCACTCCCAAGCAACCAAGTCCTGCAGAATCTACTGAGCAGAGACTGGCCCCCTTAAAACAGCATTAACACCCAGCACTCCCAAGCAACCAAGTCCTGCAGAATCTACTAAGCAGAGGTATCATCTCTGGAAGATCTACTAAAGAATTCCTGCATTACTGTTTCCTTTAGACTCTTAATTTAACATTGTGTTCTATTCCATCTCCCTCCCTATACTATCACTACTTAATTGATAACTATATCTCCCATCCTGATCTTCTGTTTTTGTTTTTCTGAAAGTTATGATCATGTAATTTTATGTTCATTCTCTAAGACTCTTTGTTAATTGTTTGTTTAGCTAGTGTTACTATTCTCACTGATAATCTTATAAATTTATGTTCATGGTGTATGACTTTCACCTATCTGATCCTTCATATCTTTTTATCCCAAATGTTCTTTCCTTTGGTTTTTCATCTCTAATTAATTGCCTCAATAGCCCCATGTCTCCCCACCCATAATAGTGTGTTTTATTTTTTTTTTTTCTTTCTGACCTCAGACCTTATATTTCAGACTGGGCCCCTTAAAACAGCATTAACACTCAGCACTCCAAAGCAACCAAGTCCTGCAGAATCTTCTGAGCAGAGGTATCATCTCTGGAAGATTTCCCACCCCATGGTCATTACCTTACTTTTAGATAGTGCAAATCAGCTGGTTTCCAAAACACACCAATCAAGTCACTAAACCTCTGCTCACCTGAAATCCTCTATTAACATACTGCATCCTTACAATGGTTTAAACACTCATTGATATTTGTGTGTGTGTGTGTGTGTATATGATTTATAAATGTGCGTGTATATATTTATATATATATATATTCTATATAATACACTTTCTCTAATGTTCTCCCCTCTATTTTTCACTTTAACACTAACTTCTCTCATTAGTAAAATATCCCTATCCTTTTGCTCACCTGTCCCTGGCAACACCATCTTCATTACTTCCACCTTACTCCCCTCCCCTCTCTATTCATCCCATGCGCTCTACACATACCTTTCCAGCCTATCTCCACCAACTCCTCCCAAATCCTCTACATACATACCCTCCTACAAAACTTTCAAATCCTACTCCCACCTTTATTTCCTTTCTATCCTTCTGCTCTTGCAGCTGGTGATGTCTCTCCAAACCCCGGTCCCATCTCAGCAAACTCACCACATACTAACCCAAGGATCCACACTAATCTCATACCCATCTCATGTTCCTCTAAATCCTCCTTCAATACTACCTTCTGGAATGCACACTCTGTTTGCAATATTACTAAATCCACTGCTGTCCATGACTTCTTCATCTCTCGTTCAATAGATTTACTAGCCTTAACAGAAACCTGTCTCTCCCCCTCTGACACTGCTACCCCTGCATCTTTGTCCTTCGGTGGTCTTCAACTTACCCACAACCCAAGAAACTCTAAATGTAAAGGTGGTGTAGGTTTTCTCTCTCCCCTCACTGCTCCTTTAAACCTCTACCCCCCCCCTTCCCTCTTTTTCCCATCATTTGAAATACATTCAATTTGCTTTTTCAAACCCTTCTCTACTAACATTGCTGTTGTTTATCGTTCCCCTGGCTCCTCTCTTCTCTTCCCTGACCACTTTGCTGCCTGGCTACCCTATTTTCTCTCTTCTATTCTATCCCTAATTCTAGGGGACTTCAATATTCCTATTAACCCACCTTTGACCTCTGCAGCCTCTAAACTACTCTCAATTACTTCCTCCCTCGGACTATCACAGTGGGCTAATTCTCCCACCCATGTAACTGGCAATACCCTTGACCTAATCTTCTCTTATGCATGTACAGTATCTAATATCTGCAACACTCCATTTCCTCTCTCTGATCACCACCTCTTATCGTTTGCTCTCGTGTACCCCCTCACCCAACAACCTCAGCCTAACCCCCCTCAACTCAGGAGTTGTCAGCTGATATTGATTCACAACTGCTGTCCATCCCTTCCCTCTCCTGTTCTTCACTGGCCATCTCCGCATAACACTACCCTCACCTCTGCCTTGAACGCTGCAGCACTGCTCCAAACCAGCACCTCGAGGAGGACCCGCCCCCAACCGTGGCATACTAAATCAACACGCTACCTGCAAAGATGCTCCCGTTCTGCTGAACGCTCCTGGAGGAAGTCTCGCACCCAGTCAGACTTTCTCAATTATAGATTCATATTGTGTTCATACAGCGCAGCCCTTGCCCTTGCCAAACAGTCCTACTTTTCCTCTCTCATTAGTTCATGCTCCCACAATCCCAGGCATCTCTTTGACACCTTTAATTCTCTTCTTCGCCCTGCTGTGGCCACCCCCCAAACTAACCTTACTGCTGACAACTTTGCATGTTACTTTACTGACGAGATAGAACAGCTAAGGAAAGAATTCTCCCCTCCTTGCCATTCTGTTTCTCAACCACACATAGATCATGCCTTTCCAACCCTTCAGCCATTCTCCCTGGTTACTGACCAAGAGGTGGCTGCTCTTCTCTTTTCCTCTCGCCCCACCACTTGCCCGCTCGATCCTGTCCCATCTCACCTTATTAGATCTCTCTCCACTTGTCTCGTGCTTCCTTAACGCACATCTTCAACTGCTCTCTCTCTTCTGGCATTGTCCCTGCTGACCTTAAACATGCCACTGTAGTACCTATACTAAAAAAAACATCCCTCGACCCGTCCACCCCCTCTAACTATCGTCCCATATCCCTGCTCCCTTTTTCCTCAAAGCTCCTGGAAAGACTTGTCTTTACCCGCATGTCTCATTTCCTCAATTCCAACTCTCTCCTTGACCCTCTTCAGTCTGGTTTCCGCCCTCTCCACTCTACTGAGACCGCGCTTATCAAAGTTACTAACGACCTAATCACAGCTAAATCCAAAGGCCACTACTCCATACTAATTCTTCTTGACCTCTCTGCGGCCTTTGACACTGTTGATCATGCTCTCCTTCTTCAACTCTTCAATCACTTGGTCTCTGTGACTCTGTCCTCTCGTGGTTTTCCTCTTATCTCTCCCAACACTCATTCAGTGTCTCCTTTTCTAATGATACCTCCTCCCCTCGTCCTGTCTCGGTTGGAGTCCTCCAAGGCTCTGTCCCTGGTCCCCTTCTATTTTCTCTCTATACTGCCTCTCTTGGCAAACTTATTACTTCTTTTGGATTCCGCTACAGTTACAAAAAACTTACGGGAACAATAGGTTGAAGAGGACCCTGCTCAATCGAGCTTACATTCTATAGGAGGTGGGGTGTAAAACACATTAGGTGGGCCACAGTCCATAATGAACGCTGCTGCCAGACTGATTTTCCTCTCTAGTCGGTTCTCTCGCACCTCACCCCTCTGCCAAACCTTACATTGGCTTCCTGTATGCTATAGGAGTCAATTCAAGGTATTAATTCACACCTGTAAAGCACTGAACAACTCTAGCCCCTCTTATATCTTCTCACAGATCCATAGGTATGTCCCTTCTCGGTTTCTCCGCTCAGCCCGTGACCACCTCCTGTCCGTTGTCTGCACCCGTACGGCCAGCTCACGCTTGCAGGACTTCTCGCAGGAGGCTCCCCTCCTGTGGAATAGCCTGCCTACCGCCATCAGACTCTCCCGTAGTCTTGCATATTTTAAGAAGTGCCTTAAAACCCATCTCTTTAGGAAAGCTTATGGCCTCCAAGACTAACCTCTACCTCACATACCTGTCTCTTGCTCTCTCCTAAAGGGCAGCCCTCCTTATTTGACTGCAAATTCCTGTCCTAATGTGTTATACACCCCACCTCCTATAGACTGTAAGCTCGATTGAGCAGGGTCCTCTTCAACCTATCGTTCCTGTAAGTTTTTTGTTATTGTCCTATTTATAGTTAAATCCCCCTCTCACAATATTGTAAAGCGCTACAGAATCTGTTGGCGCTATATAAATGGCAATAATAAATTAAAAAAAGAATAGTTGATGTTCTTGGGAATAAACTACTTATCCTGTAATATGAGAGATGAGTTTTTTTCTGATGTGAGAGGGATCTGTCTGCAGTGCTGGGTAGACTCACCAAACAGTGTACAGAGACAAGGTTTAAAGCGGAATCCAGTTGTTTTTTATTTGTTCATTTTTTTGCTTTATTTTGAATGCAATATTTTTGTAATGCCTTAAAACATTAAGTTAATTTTTACCCCGTAGTTTCCCTTTCCTAGCCATGTTCATTAAATATGGAATGTGATGAACTGATCAGGTAATAGCAAATGTTACGCAAAATAGTTGAAAGTACATGAGTTTGAGACTGTAACTATTCCCCCCCTGAAATTTGCAATGCAATGCTAAATTCCTGACAATTCCCAGTTCAGTGAATAACCCTGATAGAATGATTCATTCACAGCATTATGTCACTGTTTCCAAATAAAGGAGCGGAGATCTAGGTTACCATGTGGAGAGCAGTGTTTTAATTGCACACAAATAAACAGTTTAATCAAGCTGGCGCTATAGGAAATAAACTGTTACACTGTTGCATAACTGTGCTAAATAATGCATAATATTCATTTCCAGGGATTCTTTCCCTTTAAGAATTACGTCAATGATATACCTAGGGATTGGTACGTTAAGGGTGACCTGTCAAAGCTCTTATTCACTAATAGTAACCTAAATTATAAACATCTGGAAATAATGTCATACATAGTCTGAATATATATGGACTTGCATCATGGACATTTGATGTATTTAAAAATCTTAACAGTTTTAGTCCATACACACATATTTAATGTGTTCGCTCACTACAAAAGCTATTTACCATAATTTAGTAAGTAATTCTGCTTAGATATATGGTGTTTAATGACCAACTAAATGCAGATAAACATGTTTAAAATGATAGTCTTTTATTATACTCCATCCTGTGTTCACATGTAAATGTATACTGTATGTACTGCTCACACTGTACTCCAATGTGGATCTATTTTTATAAAGGATGTTTAATTGTGTATAAAACTATTTTGCATCTCCGAGTTGGTACTTCATTATCATATTAATATGCAGCATACAATAAGGGGTCAGAATTTTAATTAAACTGTGGAAACAGTTATCTCAATGTTGAAAGCAGAATTACCTATACTACTATGCTATATTATAATATACCAGACAGATGGACCAGACGGCAAGTGATAAACTCTATAAATATTAACCAACTCTAATGGGTAAAATTGACAAAAAGCATAAAATTTTCCAAAATATATGTTTATGGTATAACATGCACGCTGCACAAAGATTACATACAAAAGAAAAATATGAATGGAGGATACGCAGGATATTAGCTATTAATTTTCTTTACTAAAACCTGATTTAAAAAATAGATGTAAAAAAATAATAAAAAATTAGGGAAATTTTCAGTAACCGATACTTATTCCCTCCTATTGCCAGCCCTCCGGAACCCCTGACAGGGGATATGAGTATGAAATTTGTATATGGCACCACTTCCCTATGATATAAGATATATTATCCTTTATTTGGAGTGAGTTCTAGATGAGAGGTAGGTATAAAATAAACTTACCATCGCAGATATGAGCCCATGGCATCATGGGATATCTTTTCCTATGATGCCATGGGCGTATAAGAATGGCCAGCATTCTCTCAGTGATTAAATGCGTGCTCATATGCATTCTGACGCAATGGATTTCAGTGGATTCACAATTTATTCCATGCTGTGATTTTGCTGGTTTACATAATAAATAATAAAAAAACTGGGCCGTGTTTGAGGGTAAAATGGCAATTTGGTTGGCTATTGAGGTAAGTAAAATTTCAAGAGATGACCGTTCCTCTTCTATAATGTTTTTATTACTGTCTGGTGTTAGTAAAAAAAAAAAAAATCTGAATTTGTGTTTTGCAGTACTTGGCATCCTATAGTATTTTAGTCGCTCCATTGTTATAGAATGCAGTGTGTTCTTTGTATGTTCTTACAGAACCTCTAAACCAGGCTTTCCGAAACCCCGGCCCTCCAGATGTTCCTGAACTACAACTCCCATGATTCTATTAATAAAATAGATAGGCTGCAAATCATGGGAGTTGTAGTTCAGCAACATCTGGAGAGCCAGAGTTTGGGGAAGCCTGCTCTAAACTGTAGCAGAATTTACTTTATTTCTGCCCAAAGATTCCTATTATTTATTTCAGACTTACTGCAGATTTGGAATCCTAAATTGGCTGTAAGAATTGTCTTGAGTCAATATATGTTCTACAGTGATTCAATCTCTGTTGGTCCACTCCCTGTCAAACAGTAACATACACAAGGGTGTGCGCGATTTTCATCTGTAGCAAGAATGCAGTTGTTTTTTTATGTTTCTTCTAGTATCGCTCTTAATTCGAAAATATTGCTAGAAAAATAAAGGGATACAACGATATGTGTAAATGGATTTTAAAATGCAAATATGTATCCAGATTATATAGCCATAGGTAATAAATTAAATCCACACTGTTAAATCAAGTAATTGTGATAATCTTTTTAGGGAATAAACATTCACTATGGACCTGTTAGTTTAGTAAAAAAAATTATCTAGGTAATGCAATGCCATCTGCTAACATTTATTTATACACGTTAAAAATTATACGCAATTGGGTTTAGCTTTGAAAGACTTTGTTAAAGAAACTCTGTAGTGTTACTTCTAATGCTATAATATTTGGCTAACTATGAAACATAGATTTATTTACCTTTTAGCCCTTGCTGTTGCCATCCCTCTTCTTTGGCTCAGATCTTCAGTCATGATGATCTCCGCCAATACAATGCTTCCTCATTGGCTTGTGTGCATGCGCAGAAACTTCACCATCTCCTCATCGAAATGCATTGAGTCAATGCATCTCTATGGGGAGACTTCAGTGTTAACATGCAGAACGTGGAGATACTGAACGCTGATCCTGCAATATCTGCAGGACTGAACCCAGGAAGGCTAGTGACGGCCACTAGAGGGGGTCATAGAAAAGGCAGTGTTTGCACTGCTGACCCTGCAAGGACAAGCCCTAGAACCAAACAATTAAAAACATGTCCCGGGGGGCGGGGCTAGCACGCAGACCGAGACAGACGCCATTTGCTGGAGCTCCTAGAAACAAACCTGAAATCTGCCCGATATCATCGGAACACGAGCCCATCCAGCCTCCAAAAACACAAAATCGGACTCTGCTGCCCGAGCTGCAAGCGTAGATGCCCTTCTTACAGCCGCAAAAACAGCCTAAGCGGCAACGGAAAACTGAGGCCTATCACCCTCTCCAAATCCCCAGCCTCGTGTCACTCTTTGGCGGAGACCCTGCGGAACGGCCGAGGGCGTCCCCATCACAAACATCGCCCACCACACTCACCATGGGCCGTAAATCACAGAGACCCACCACAGGGTCAGATACCAGGGACATTGGGGCGCTGCTCCAGAAGCCCAAACACACTCAGGCCGGAGACCAACCGGACACAGAACCGGAACCGGACCGCCACGAGATGGAGGTACCACAACACCCCCTGGTGGTAAGACCCGCACAAGCGGACCCTATGGATGAATCAGCCCCAACAACTAGGGGAGACCTGAAGGTTCTATTAGCTGATATCCACAAGCTCCTGGCTGCAGATTTAGCTGTATTTACAACACAGCTACAGGCCGTCACAGAGAGAGTCAAGGCCACAGAGGGGGCTATAGCAGATACACAATCTGCCATGCAAACCATGCAGGACTCTATCCACCAACTACAAGCGCACCAGACTACCCTGAACGCAAAACTCATAATACTAGAGGATAGACAACGCCGCGTAAACATCAAAATAAGGGGTATCCCTACGGCAATATCCGCGGAGGAACATCCCCACTACACCCGACGCCTCTTGACATCTATATTACCTCCCACGCTGGCCCGCAAAATCACAGTGGACAGTCTATATCGCATCCCCAATACCACCAACACTAATACCAACCTGAACCGGGATGTCATCCTGCGCTTCCACTCAGTACAAGACAAAATACAGGTCATGTCAGCCGTGAAGGGCAAAACCCCTCTTTCATTTGAAAATGACACCTTGAACTTCTTCCAAGACCTTACTAAGGCAACATTGCTATGGAGGAAAACCTACGCACCGGTAACATCCCAACTACGCACGGCAGGACTGCCATACAGATGGGGAACCAACAACTCTTTAACGGTCACCGCAGAAGGAACTACGCATGTCCTCCACACCATGGCCGACGCAGCCTCTTTTTTGAGAAAATTGGGACTACCCATTCCAACCGATAATCGCACGCTTCGTGAGAGTGCCAGAGACCCGGCCACCATCATCCCCTTTGTCCCACGCACCAGAGGGACACCACCACCCGTACAGTGACAGCCCACACCGGCACCTATGGCTACACAATCTAGCCCACATTGGAAGGCTCTGGCCTCGACTCACCTGGAGAGGACACTGATACACGAGGGAAACCTTGTACTCGGACGCAACGCAGTCACTAGAATTTAACTTTTTTATATTTTTATATTTTATATATATTTCTCTCTCTTCTCTATGCTTTCACACCCCTATCCTGACTATGAGCAAACCACACTCCAGCCAACACACTGGACACAACACCAGAGAGTCAATGGAGCCACATCCCTCCTCCCCCCCCACGCAACCCCCTTGGTTAGGGGTACCACGCATATCAGCTACCGCTGAAACCGCCCATGCGCACAGGCCACACTGACAAACCACAACCCAAACTGGGAACCAACACCATTACATAAGCTGACACATGTTACCTACTCAAACTCCATGAATCACTCACACGACAATGTTTCTCTTTGTTTCAAGACTCCTATATATTTGTCTACAGAATGTCTAACATGTTAACCTTGTATATAATTGTTAAACGTTGAAGAAAAAAAAAAAAATGTGCATACTGCTAGACATACCTAAGCTATATCGGACATGCATAATTTACGAATGTCTTTTGTCCTCTTGATATTTCTTAAAATGCTGTTTTTATTGTCATTGTTGGATATTTGAGGAGCTTTGATCACGTTATTGTTTTGATATCCAAGTAAAATTGTGTTTGATTTCTCACTTCTTGCAGGAAAAGTATTTGTTCCAAAGTCTATGCCCTTAAAAAGCCAGCCAGAAGAAAAGGTTACCCTGGAGCCAGAACTGGAAGAAGCTCTCGCAAGCGCCACAGATACTGAACTCAGCGATCTTGCAAGTAAGCAGCAGTTTGCAGTCCACATGCTGTCTAAGAAACCGTGTTAATTTTGTCGACTAACAATTTTAGTCGACTACATTTTTTTATATTTAGTTGACTAAAACCATTCAGTTGACTAAAATACAACTAAAACTAAAATGGCTTTTTACTCAAAAGACTATGTATAAAACTAAATTAATATTTGCCGCCAAAGTTAACACTGCACAGAGGGGCTGTGGAAGGGGCAGAAGAGACAGGGCTTGGGAGAGAGACACTTAGAGGTGCTGGGAGGACCCAAAGCGACACAGAGGGGCTGGGGAAGGCGCAACAGAGGGGTAACCGACAGATAAAGACTTTAACTAAACCCTGGAGATTTAGTCAACTAAAACAATTCAGATGACTAAAATACGACTAAAACTAAAATGACTTTTTAGTCAGAAGACTATGACTAAAACTAAATTGAATTTTGCCAAAATTAACACTGCTAAGACATGTGTGCTGGATGTTTATGACTTTAAGAGTTGGCCGTATAACAATTATAGGAGCTGTAGTTAAAACCATTTGGAGAGAATGGGTTTTATTCAACACTGGTTGACAACTATACTAAATCCTTTAGAATCTTTGAAGAGTCTCAATTACTGAAAAAACTAATTCTGTTCATATAAAAGCAGTGATGACCTTAGATCTCTCCAATCTTCTAAAGTCAGTGGAGCCGGTGTCACACTATGGTTGATGTGGAGTTGGCACAGTCCCGGGGAATCAGGGCCGCCATCAAGGGGTGACAACCGCCTGGGCCCCAAGTGTAGCGGCAGAATTGCCGACGGTGCAGTTGCACCGGGGCCCGCACGCTGATGGGGCCCATCAGGTGGCCCACGCCCTTAGGGACACCCGATGGGCCCTACATCTTCAGGGGCCCGGTCAGCGCTGTGGCCGTGTTATAGTGTGACCGGGCCCCTTTAAAAAAAAAAGTGCAGCCGTAGCGCAAGTGCTGCTGGGAGGAAGTGGTCACTTCCTCCCAGCTCACTCCGTGCGGGAGTAGAGCCAGCGTGGAGGCGAATGAAGAGGTAGAGCCATGCCGACTTCTATCAGCCCCAGCCACCCTCCTGCAAAGAAAAGGTAAGAACAGGAGGGTGCCTGAAAAATGAGCTCTGTGTGTGTGTGTCTGTATGTATGTATATATGTCACTATCAATGTATGAATGTATTGTATGCATGTATGTATGTCTGCATGTCATGTATGTATGGATGTGTGTATGGATGTCAGTGTCTGTATGTATGTCTTTATGAATGTATGTATGTATGTCTGTCAGTATGTATATATGTCTGTATGTCTGTCACTATGTATGTATGTATGTTTGTATTCCAGTATCAATGTATGTCTGTATGTCATTATGAATGTATGTCTGTGTGTGTGTATAACAATTCCTCCCAGCTCACTCTGTGAGGGAGTAGAGCCAGCGTGGAGGCGAATGAAGAGGTAGAGCCATGCCGACTTCTATCAGCCCCAGCCACCCTCCTGCACAGAAAAGGTAAGAACAGGAGGGTGTCTGAAAAATGAGCTCTGTGTGTGTGTGTCTGTATGTATTCATGCATGTATGTCTGTCAGTATGTATGTATATATGTCACTATCAATGTATGAATGTATTGTATGTATGTATGGATGTGTGTATGGATGTCAGTGTCTGTATGTATGTCTTTAAGAATGTATGTATGTATGTATGTCTGTCAGTATGTATATATGTCTGTATGTCTGTCACTATGTATGTATGTATTCCAGTATCAATGTATGTCTGCATGTCATTATGAATGTGTGTGTGTGTGTGTGTCTGTATGTATGTATATAATATATGTCTGTATGTCAGTATGAATGTATGAATGTGTGTATGGATGTCAGTGTATGTATGTCAGTATGAATGTATGCATGTCTGCGTGTCTGCATGTCATTATGAATGTATGTATGTATGTGTGTATGGATGTCAGTAAATGCATGCATGTCTGTCAGTATGCATGTATGTCTGCCAGTATCAATATATGTCAATATGAATGTATGTCTGTATGTCATTATGAATGTATGTCTGTGTGTGTATGGATGTCAGTGTCTGTATGTATCTATGTGTCTGTATGTCCTTATGCATGTGTGTCTGTATGTTAGTATGTGTATGTCTCAGTATGTGTGTGTCAGTATGTATGCCTATATGCGTGTATGTCTGTTTCAGTATGTGTGTCTTTTAGTATGTATCTGTGTATGTGTGTATCTGTGTCCTTTTGTATCAGTGTGTGTGTTTGTGTCTGTGTGTGTATTCCTGTGGGCGGGATTTGGAGGCAGCCCTGTGGGCGGGCTTGGAGGCAGCTCCTGGGGGCCCAGACCCTGAGCTGAGTTAGGGACCCCATAATTTCTGGTGGCGGCCCTGTGGGGAATTATCTGTATCCAAAGCAGAGTCTGCTACACTCTGTCAAGGTTATTCTCTGAAGTGTCCATTTTTAAGAATTCAGAGTGATGTTACATTTTAGGTGCCTCCTCTTTGTTAAAAAAGTTAATAGTTAATTAATGACTTAATACCAGCGGGCTACCCTGCACTGCTCCCCATCTCCATCATAGCTCGAGGAATGCTGGAAGGTCACTTTCTGAGCTAAGTTCATCAGTGCAGGGCTCAGCTTATTTGCTGTGAGTGGTCAGCTGATGATCAGCTCAGGAGAGCTAATGGAAGCTCCTAAGCAGGCTCTATTGTAGCTCTCCCTCTCTCTTATAGGTGTAGTGGAGGCAGGGAGCAGCAGCTAACGGACCCAAGGTAAAAAGTCAAATTTGGCACATCAACATTAATTAACATTACTACAGCACACTGTAATAGTTATGGTGTTTAGAGTATTTCTTTAAATGAACCGAAGTGAGTAAAATAATTCAATGGGAGATATAGTTGAAATGATTTAATAAAATGATGTATCAGAGTGTTAAATTAATTTCGGGGGCTTACTGTGAGAATTCTACAAAGATTCTCATCTTATTCTGAGCAACACAAAAGAGGCTCTTCCTGTTGCCTCATGCCATAAGTGGATGTGTGAAAGTTAATAATGGAACAGGTTGACAGCTGTGAGGACTCACCCACTCATTCCTCTGTTACCTATGTTGTGGTACAGCGAATTAAATTATTAATATTTCTGATATTACAACAGAAGAGCTGTGTGATTGGTTTGTTCAAATAAAATCACATTGGCCTTTTGCTGCAAGCTACTACTGGGCAGAAAAGCCCAAGCTTCATCACTAATTTTGTTCATTTGATTTATTTTGATTATTTTGATTATTCCCATTTCTAAGAACAGAAAATACAGAAAGTTGTTTTTAAGTTGATTTTTTTTAAACCATGTTGTAGAAATGCAATATTTATGATGTATTGCCAAGCTGGCTACACATTGTGATAGTTGTAGTTCTGTCCATCTTTGGCTTGAAGGTTAAGGAAGATACTATCACCTGTCAGCATATATTTAGGGAAATGGGAGGGAACGTGTTGTTGGATTGATGTTCTGTGTAGTGTCAAGGAGACTGGGCTGAAGTACTAAACCTGGAACGGCAGACAAGACCCAGAAAATAGAATGCATCAGCAAATAAACAAACTAATTGGATTTTAAAAAAAATGTCCTAAAAAAAATAAGACTTTATGTTGATCTGCTCTGTTTCAGCCGTCCTTGGAGTGCAACATTTTTCAAGCCGACCACAGGGTAACGACGAATTAAACCAAGATGGTACAGAAAGAACTGATTTAAGACGTAAGAAAACCTCTGTTTATGTTGCAGATATGTTCTACTTTTGCTTGTCCACTTATTGAAAAGAGAACCCTTCAGTCGCTAAGTGCAGACTGTTAGCAATGGCAGAATACAGTATAAAACAGCAGGTTTTGGTACCATAGCATTGCCCTTTCTTATATAACAAGATATGTGTTAGAGAGGGACTGTTCACATTTTTGCTGCAAGCATGTAACTCCGTGAACTTTGATAGAATGTGTCTGCCAGATTTCTGTTTATAGTAAGTGTTCCAGATCTTCACTTGCCTAAGGATACATACAATGTTATGCTAATTACATTCTTTGGAACTCATCATCATTTCACATGTTCTTTTACTTCCTGAGCATCAGGCAGCAATACAGCAGGGGGGATACAGTATCTGTGAGGGGTTAATTTGACCAATGTATCTTTCAGCATTGGCTGACCACTATCATTTTTTCATAATCATTTGATATATTCTGAGATAAGTGACTCTGTAAGAATTGAGTTTGGAATGTATTATGTTAAATTATATTATTTAACAAGCAAACAGTAAATCCAGCTGGTCTTTTCTCCAGGCATATTATGCAACAGAATAACCTACATGATATTATCAGTCATAGTACTGATTAGAAAGACCATCCTGATGTCTTATTCAAGCTTGTTATAGAGTAAAAGATCTTACATTTCTTTTGGTGGATATTTATCAGTGTTCTGAAAAATGAAAAAAAAATGTTTTAAATGTTTTATTTCTCCTAACAAATGGTGTAAATTCAGAAATGACAGCTAGGTTGCAAAAGAAAGATTTAATAAATTTCACCAAATATTCACTGAAAAGTAGACATAAATGTATCAATGACACTTTGATAAATCTCCCGCTTGTGTTTTGTATAAATAAGTGATCTAAAAGGACTTTGTTTTCAGGATAATAATAAAATATATATATATATATAGCTTAGGCCACAATATTTTATCAGGTTATTCATTAAAGTGAGATTTCAAAGTGAGATTTCAAATTTAAGACCACAGCAGACAAATTGAAAGCTTTAAAGAATTTTTCCAGTTTGACTAGATTGACCTTAAATTTGAAATTCACTTTGAATTCTAGCTTAAGTAAAAAAAAAAAAACCCTGTAAGTTACTTACACAGCCTTCCTAAACACTTCCTGTAGAGTGAGATCTAATATTTACACTTCCTTTTACAGCAAATTTTGTAAGAATTCCTTATCTCCTGCACTGTTAATAGCTTGCTAGACCTTGCTGGGTCCTCCTGTATGTAATAAAAGTTCAATTTACAGAGCAGGAAATAAAAACTTCTAAAGTAAGTTAAGATATGATTGAAAATTATTTTTTTGTTAATGCAGGCTGTGCAAGTGACAGTCAGGGAAGGTGTGGCTAGGGATGCATAAACAGAAATACAAGTAATTGAAGAATTGAACAGTGATACTTCAGAGGCATGATCTATACACAAAAACTGATTAAACCAACTTTGTTTTAGTGACTTTGGGATACCTTTAATTACAGATTACTGTTAAGCTAGATTGCATTACATAATTTTATGTTAAAATATATAAGCCAATAATGAGTGAGTAGAATACAGGTCCGCCATAAGTCATCCTACATTCTATAAGAAAACTATTATTATAAATACAGTATCACACATAATGAATGTATCAATGAATACAACATTTGTATATGGCAGATGTTGTAAAAGCCGAAAAGGTGAAGCCCACGTTTGAAGACCCTCCAAATCCCACTAACGTGGAAGATAGTTTGCAAAGGATAAAAGCTAACGATCCTTTCCTTGTGGATGTCAACTTGAACAACATCAAGGTATCAAAGTACTACTCATTACCTGACTCATTTTACGTAACATGCCACATGAATGCATGACTAAATTATTGACAGCAATACAGTAAATAGACATGTCAAAAAAACAAAGATGTTTCGAGGAGTAAATAGTTATTAAAAATGCTTTTTACCTCTGCAAGTTAAGTTGGTTTTATTTATATATAATATTTTTCGTGTTTAAGAATTTGATAAAATATTTGTTTTTCACTTTTTTTCTTGAACATGTAGAACATCCCAATCCCAACACTCAGGGATTTTGCAAAGGCTTTGGAAACAAACACCCATGTAAAAGGATTTAGCCTGGCAGCCACAAGGAGTAATGACCCAGTAGCCATTGTAAGTAATCACATGAATGATGTCAATGAAATAAACCCATATGTTAATGGTTACAATTAATTTCTGTGGAATATATGTTGGAGGTTTTACTTGGTTGGAATACTGGAGGTTTTGTGAGTGACTTCTCTTCTTTGTAATTTCCTTTGTCATAAGTCACCTCGTCTCTTGCCTTATATGAGAACCATAGTGAGTGTAGTGTGCACTGTATTCACCATCGAGAGCTATGGAAAAGGAGAGTTTTAGGTCATTTAAAATGGTCATGTAATAATACATTGATTTTTCATCATTTAAAATACAGTACAGCATTTCCTAGATACTAAAGAAATAGATAATATTATTAGTATATGACTGAATCCTGACCGTTCGTCTCTATAGTCTTCCCTGCTTCACTCCCTGCACAGAAACAGAGAAGACCATAGAGACTGATTGTCAATTTTCAAACAATGTCAGACCCAAGGTGTATGTATATGGCTGAAGGATCCTGCATATACTAAAGAGAGGAATGAGGTTTTCCTATATTTTACATATACTTAATTTAAAAAAAAATCTATTTTCTTTCAAAATTTGATGAAAGGAATATTACATTAAAACATATTTTTAAGGTGACAGTTGTCCTTCACACATTTTTAAAATATACTTTCATGTTAAAAAAACCTAAATAAATCTTAGATTTTTGGATATAAAATCAAAATGATTAAACATGCAAAATGTTTTAGATATATGAAATTGATCAAATAAAAACATAGCTTAATGTTTCATTGTTTAAGGTTCTTCATGGCATTTCTTATATATGTAATTTACAGAGTCTAACTTCAGACCTATTCCTGATGTAACCCATTCTTGATGACCTTGCTTCCCATGGGTATATGGATAGCCTGAAATGGCTCATATAGTTCAAATCAGTCTCGATCACACACCATCACACGTGCAATTCTCTGACCCACTCAAAGCGCAGTACTTATTCCGTAAAATATATATGGATGGCTAAATGAACACGTTAGATTTCTCATGTGAAGTCATTAGGTAGTTGGGTAGAGCCTGTGCAGTGTAGATCAAAATGAAAGTTAAGAAAATAGGAATTAAAATATATATTTTCAGGGACATGTTTTTTTAGTAATCTTACCGTTATCTGATCCAAAAGTGATATAAACCGCTTTATAGCCCCTTTTCCCTGGATGCCATGGTTCGATAAATCCAAAATACCAGGTTATCATGGTGACACAAAATTATATTCCTTATGGCCAGAGGAGATCACAATATCTCCATTGAACAGCCCATAGCATGCTAAGGAGGCATCAGCTGGGATAACTTTCCTATCTTGAGTCACATGCTGAGTAGCGATGGGAAGTGATATGACATCACATTCTGCTAGCACTGTCAGTCACTCGGTGAAAATGCCCCTCGTGAGAACACTGAATGAATCTTTCTGTTACATCAGAATGAAAAGACAAACTTGTGTCCACCAAGCACCAATGTCCGTGCTGATCTCAAGAACTCCTTTCTCTCCTCCATACCAGCAGTAGTGAGCACAATGAGGAGTAGAGGAGTAATTCATTCTATGGCAAATGTGTATGACTCTAAGAATGAATGTTTGGATTTCTGTATATATGTGTATGATTGGCCTTTATTGTAATAAGTCGCTTTTCGTATGTCTATATATGTGTGTGGTTAATTAGGTAGGTGTGAGAGAGTGGCTCGGAGGGATACTCCAGACTGGAATTGGTCTTTATTTAATTTATTATAAATATGCCAAATAATTCCACGTGTTTTCTGCAATTGCTCATTGAGCTTTAACACTCAATTCAACACATTTGCTGCGAATACGCGGTGATATTACCTAACCTGGAAGTGGCTCAGCCAATCATTGTGCATTTGTTCAAATGAAACAGAGCATGTCTAATAAAACCCTGCCCGGGAATTTAGGGGCATGTAGTTCAGTGCTTTGCAGCTGCTAACTTCCTTAATAAATTGGATGGAACTGCTACCTAACCTGATAGCAGACACACTGTAGAGCAGGGATAGGCAACCTGCGGCACTCCAGATGTTGTGGACTACATCCCCCACAATGCTTTGACACCCATAATGCTGGCAAAGCATCGTGGGAGGTGTAGTCCAAAACATCTGGAGTGCCGAAGGATGCCTATGCCTGCTGTAGAGCAATCAGAGGGGACCGCAGAAGTGTACATGCTCTGCCTCCTTCACAATAAGCTGAGACCTTTTTCACATGGAAATTTATACAACACATTTGCAAAGTGCACACTTCCTCCTGTAATGTAGCTCATTGTTGGCATGGGATTGAAGTTGTAACGATCTTTGCAAATTGATGCAGAGTGCAGAGAGACAGGGGACCTCCTTGCACCATAATCAAGAAAAGAGCATTGGGTTGAATGTTGCTTGGAGAGTGTGTGTAAGATTAAGTATGGCTAATTGTGTGTGTTTGTAAGTTGCTAATAAATATTAGCACTGTCTCCTATATTTTAGGGAAAATCTCCAGCCCTGGTATAGGCCATCTAATGTTATGTTTATACAAGGAACGGACCTTTGTTATATTGGTGAGTAGAGATGTCGCGAACCGTCCGCGAACTTCTCGCGAACGGTTCGCCGCGGTTCGGTCAGCTGACACGTCCCGGCCAATCTCCAGCAGACCCTCCCTCCCAGACCACATGGATGCTGTCCAGGAAGTAGGAGGGTCTGGGAGGGAGGGTCTGCTGGAGATTGGCCGGGACGTGTCAGCTGACCAGAGTTTGCCGCGAACAGCTCGTGGCGAACCGTGGCGAACCGTTCGCGAGAAGTTCGCGGACGGTTCGCGACATCTCTATTGGTGAGATGCTATGTATGGTGTAACTTGTGTAATATAGAAGGTAGCAAAGTTGACAAGAAGCCAGAAAACATGAATCAGTGAGCATATCTAATGCAGTAAATGTAAAATGATAAAATCTCTGTTTTTCTTTTAAACCAGTCCACGTCTGCTATTTTTAGGAATTAAAAGAATTGTATATTTATCATTTTATGTCTGGTGTCTTTGTAATTTACTTCAAATATAATTTGCCTTCCGAAGGCCTTTGCAGATATGCTGAAAGTGAACAAAACATTGAGGAGCCTTAATGTAGAATCAAACTTTATAACTGGAATTGGAATAATGGCCCTTGTCGACGCTCTTAAAGAGAACAAGACCATCACAGAGATCAAGATTGCCAACCAGGTAAATGTGGAGTAACGTATCAAGCATTTCATGGATTGGAGAACCACCGAGATAAAATCCTATATACATTTTTGTTTCACCAGAGGCAGCAGCTGGGGACCGTTGTGGAGATGGAAATAGCTCAGATGCTGGAGGAGAACTCTGCAATTCTTAAATTTGGATATCAATTTACGCAGCAGGGTCCCAGGACTAGGGTAGCAACAGCAATCACAAAGAATAATGACTTAGGTGAGACAACTGCTAATCAAATACATAAATTCCTTGATTTGTTTTATCATCACCACTATGCTGTGATAGAATGTTTCTGTGAATCACTCAATACCACAACATAGATAAGCCTGACAAATAATTGTGATCTGATATTACGCATTACTACACAGCTAAATGGATCAAAAATGTATAAACTTTATTATTTGATAGAGAAAGTTTGTTCGTCTGTGGTCTCTCTTATACATCTTCCTTTTGTGGATTTTACTGTTCCTGGATGTATTCATGCAGAGCATGAGGACTTACAGGGTCCGTTATCGGACCAAAAATCCTTAACAGCCAGCAAAAGTCAGTTAACAGTCATTTAGGCGACCTAAAATCCGGTGGGCTCTCGGAAGCGGCTCTAGTGACTGTCTGGTAGACAGCCACTAGAGGCTGTCTTAGTACTGCAATGTAAACATTGCATTTTCTCGAAAACTGCAGTGTTTTACTTTGCAGGATTAAGGGGACAGGGATATTGCACCCTGTCCACTTCAATGAGCTGAAGTGGTCTGGGTGCCTATAGTGTCCCTTTAAAAGTCATAAACCTCCCAAATACATGTACGGGGCTTTAGCTCACATTAATTTCACCATTGCTGTTATGTAATAGTCCCAAGGATGTAACATGTGTTATATAGGTGCACCTGCTAATCTATTGTTCAATGGAAATTTAGCTAGTACCTGATTTTGACTCACTTTGCTTAATATCGCCGACATATTTGAAAAAAAGAGAAATATCAATGTTACCTTCCTGGTAAAATATATTATAAATAAATAAAATTTTAAAAGTGGGAACTCACAGGTACTTATTGAAATAATATGTGTATATCGCCTGAGTGTCTTGAACAGCCATAGGTCGGTACAGAAACACAGTCATACACTGACTGACCAGATCAGTATTACAGCACACAGTCTGCTCTATTGAGACTTAGCAGAGATTACTAAACTGTCTTTTTGGCATATGCTAATTCTCCTGTTCTTGGACAAAAATTTTAACCTCAGCCCTATGTGACTCAGCTGCAATATATTTCTAGATTGTTTAAGAGGGAAGAAGTGAATATTCCCTCTCTAATCGTTCCAAATCTAATTTTAGTGGAGAGTACAGAACCATATCTTCTCTTTCTTAATTATATTTGGCAGTTATTTGACACTCATGGAATGGATAATCTGTTTTACGGAGAAAGCAAACAAGATTGACCGTTGCATAATACTAAAATACAAGATGTTAATAGAATACATCATTTTGTTCTAGTATTTGCACTTAATGGCAAACTATAGTGCCAGGAAAACAAAGTTGCCTTCCTGCAACTATAGCTCCCTATTATACCCCACTCCATCAGGTCCCTCCCCCACCAAGGTGCAGAAGGGGTTAAAATGCTTTCCTGTGGGACTTTACATGATGCTGGATGTCCTCATGCATAGCGTGAGAACATCCAGCGTCAGTTAGGCAACCAATAGTCACCTAACGACCCAGAAGTCCATCTCGTGGCTGTCTGGTAAGCAGCCATTAGAGGTGGCATTAACCCTTAAAGGTAATTATTATTATTGCAGTTTATTAAAAACTGCAATAATTACCTTTGCAGGGTTAAGGGACCTGGGGCACTGCAATAAGCTGACGTGGTCTGGGTGCCTATAGTGTCCCTTTACTCCACAATTATACTAGTTATATTAAAGTTTTTGAGTTCAATTCTTCTCTCACCATTGGATCACGTGTTGTTGTAAAAGTACCATAAAAAGTCATATACAAATTGTACCACGTTGTTGCCATAATGCTCAAATACATACCAGGTGTAGCTAGTTCTCAGAGTGTGCATAACCACAGTATTGAAAAGATAAAATAATGAATAGATAGCTAGGCTTGGACAGTCTGCTTTTGATTATGTAGCAAGCACAAACCACATGCTGTAGGGCTTCATTGTGTGAGTGACGTTGGATTAGTAATTACAATTTTCCGTTATGAGTTCCGATGGGCAGGGAGTAAAATAGCTGGTACTTGTTTATTATACTCCCTCTGCTGACGTTGAATCTATTCTGAGTGCAGTGATGGGAGAGAGCAACCATTAATTAATTAAAACGGTAGTTATACCCCCAAAACTGCTTACTGGTCTATAATTAGCACAGAAGCTGCAGGGAGCAGAGAATTAGACTGTGTTTAGGGCTAGGCTGTGTTTATCATCAGTGAGTGTTTAGGGTTAAGGTAAGAGGCACCTAGAGTTAGGGGATGCTTCGGGTTAAGGGGCTTAGGATGTAGAATGCTGCAGACTGTAACACTTATTTCTCAGCACTAATGACCCTAATTCTAAAACCCGCTAACTGAATACACTGTTAAAGCTTCAGTGGTGTTTAGCATGCCTCTGCCCCTGATCTGCCTGCTCTGTTGACATCATCAGAAGTGTTGATCAAAGCCAATCACAATGCTTCCCCATAGGATTGTCTGAGACTGTGAAGGAGGCAGATTTTGGCAGAGCCACCACAAGTCCATTACAGCCCTGGCCAATCAGCATCTCCTCATAGAAATACATTACATCAATGCACCTCTATGAGGAAAGTTCATTGTCTCCATGCAGATGGTTTAGACACTGAATGGCAGTGCTGCACAGGATGCACCTCTAGTAGCTATCTGAAAAGACGGTGTTTACTGCAAAAAGCCTGAAGGTTATGATTCTACTCACCAAAACAGATACAATAAGCTGTACTTGTTCTAGGTGACTATAGTTTCCCAATAAGTTTATGAATTCAAAGTGAATTTTACATTTAAAGCCAAAGTAGCCAAACTGGTAGCATAGACTTGGAGACTTGATTTTCAATGTCAGCTACTTTGGTCTTGAAATTCAACTCTGAATTCTCAATAATTCATACTTTAGTAAATAACTCTGTCAGTGAATTATATACCCTTGTGAAGCTGCTCTGCTCATAACTCTGATTCGTAGGTATGTCCCTACTCGGCCTCTCCACTGTGGATGTGACCTTTATGCCCGCCCTATTATGTCCTTATTCTCCACTCCAATAGACTGGAAGCTCGTCTGAGCAGGGTCCTCATCTACCTATTTTTCCTGTATCATTTTGTAGTTGTCCCTCATATTGTTAAATTTCCCCCTTCCATAATATTGTAAAGCGCTGCTGAATAAGTTGGCGCTATATAAAGACCAATAATAATAATAATAATATATGGTGAGGCAGTGGCATGATTGTCTGTAAAAACATTTTTATTAATTAATATAACTATTTGAGGGCTGATGTGTTTATAATGTAAAGATATTTTATAGCATAGATCTGAATGAGTAATGCTGCTGTTGAAACCCACAGGCATCATTTGATAACATACAGTAGCTATGATAAACAATAAATCGGGCAAAACTGCCATCCGTCATGTATTTATAAGGAATACTGACATTTTTAGGAATCCGCAAAATACCAGTAGAAAAAGAGCTTTTTGTCTGTATGTCAAAAGACATAGCCGGCTGCCATTGCAATCTGTACATACACCATACTATGTACTTAGTATCCTATCTTTGTTTTTGCCATCCTGGGTGCTACTCAATGGCCCTGAACACATTAATCAATGCACACTCCTGCGCAGTGTGGGAGGACAGGCGATGACTTCATTTATCATCCCTCTGCGCAAATTCTGACGGAGAAATTCATTTTTCAGTCAAGTCATGAATAGCTCTAGAGCAGACATGAAGGTTACTAAGGAATATATTAATGGAAACATATTTTGAGCCTTTTTGTTTAAACCATTTCAATGTCAGAACATTATGGCAATTCTTACTTGGCAATGATAGGGTTACATTTTATTCCAGTCTCTGTGGGTAGTGGAAGTTGTAAGAGATTTGGATAGTGGGTTGCAGTACTGTGAGCTGACATTTGTCTTGTGTATGGATTAATTCATTTATGCAAATTGTTGTTTTACATGTATTACATGGTTTTTAAAAAGTTAGCAGATATAGGAGGTCAGAAAGCAGGGAAATGACTGAGTGAAAGGTACGTACTCAAAAAGGGGGACATTTATAGGGGTTTATTTATCAAGCAATGATCAATCATTTCAATGGAATAACAATTAGACCAAAATTCTTTATTTTGTAGTTTAAGTAATCCTCATGTTAATATTGCCATTCTGGTATTAAAGTAATACTTCAAGCACCATAACCACTACAGCTAAGGGTGCATTTGTACAAATTGGTTACTGATAAGCTGCTCTCATGAGAGTGGGTGCAAAGTACTCTGTGCACCATCACCACTGCAATTTTACAAAGCTACTATGGTATTCGCGGTTACTCTTTAAACTTGTGTTAGATTGCTGCTTTGTTTAATATTGGTCTTCTAATCAGGATGTTTAAATGAACACTTCCTTCCAAGCCTGCTGGAAAATAATACTGACATTATGTGTTTGGTCATATAACTTACTGATGCAAAACTGGAGCAAACTGTAGTTTTATGATAATTTAAATTAAAGGAAAACTGTTCTTTAACTTATCAGTGCTATCGGTATATACACAGGGTATATGCTAACGGTATATACACAGGGTTCGACTTGATGGGCATGCTGCCCGTACTGATTCTGTTTATTTTTATATTATGCTACTACCACAGAGACTTGCGAGTCTCATTGACACATGCTTGTTATATTCATATTTGAGGTACTCTCTGCTTACACTGTGATGCCCCAGGAGGAGAGGGGAAAGATAGATGTACTTACCACAACCAAACCTTCTTCATGGCTTCACCTCCCGGTGGGTTCACTATTCAGGACTCACAGTCACCATTACATGCCCAAAAATGCAAAATGGGGACTATGGAAGATAGATTTTTTTATTCAACCAATAAGTAATGTCTACTCCGCCGTGGTGCTCCAACATCACCTAGCAGGCACAGCCTATCTGAGTGCCCAATATCCCATTTGCTCTGTAGCTAAAGACAGGGGAGAGACTTGAGGTTACAAAACTGAAGCTATACACTGGATCGGAACATAGTATTGGGCAGCCAAACCTTTAACCGTGTGATGAATGAAGACAATAAGGGCATTTTTTGGACAGAGGGTAATTGAAAGGTGAGCTTGCCAGGAATATATGGTTTGTGGAGCTCTATGTTTTGGGAGGGTCCTGGCTGGAAAGGGTGGTAACTGTTATCAGCCCCAGACCTGTTGGCGCTCTATGTATTACCCAGATTAGCTCTTAATTTTCTCTTCTGATCAAAGACTATTCTAAAAATCATAACTTCAATCCTTCTTTATAGCAGCTCTGTTTATAATTATTATTGTTAATTGTTCTAGGTTTATTGATTATTGATCTGTCAGTCCATTTCTTAAAAAAATTGTGATATATCCAGTCCCATGTAATGCATTTACTCGATTCTTTACCTATCCAGTGCCATGCAACAATTATGTCCATAGTCTACTCTACACCAATATTTTGGAAACTATATATATTTTCCTAATTACTATAATTCTGTGCCAGCTAATGGCAGGCAGGAAATCACTAGGGACATTACTGAGGGGTTATTTACCTAATAGTGAATTGAATTATAAGCTGAAATAGTCATGCTGTGTTGACCATTCAATTTTGTTGGAGAAAATGTTCCCAGTCAGTTATTTTAGCATAAACTTTTCAAACTTATTCTCAGTTCTCTACAATTTGATTATTGATGAATAAACAGTGTTGCCAGTCTATAATTATACCCTATTGCTTTCTCTCTATTTCTACAGTTCGTCAAAGGCGAATTGAAAGAGATCACCAATAGATCAATGGGAACTGCCAAACATCAGGTAGAGCAGGTGAAATGCACTACACCTGACTGTGAAAGATGCACTAATACAAATGCAGTTTCTCCAAATACTTTACCCTTGGACAAGCCAAGCACTGGGAAACTCTAAGGAAAATTATGTTTCCCTAAAACCTGCATTGATCCTTGTCACGTTTAAAGAGTAACTGTTTTCTAGTGATGTCAGATGCATGGTCTCCTACATAAATCCGTGACTCACAGATTCCCTCCCGTCACTTTACTGATGTTAATGTTGCCAAGTGATGTCATATGACCTTGATTTTCATTAATGGAAGAAGTAGTAGAACACTTGACGCTTTGAGGGTTATGTACTAAAAGTATCATGTTCACTTTCATGTTTGCGCATGTTCCATTTTCTTATGTATAAAACTGCTACACTATACGTCTTTTTTTTTTTTCTCTTTTTTTTGTAGCATACCAAAATATTATTTCTTTTCTGCTTTTTATACCTCTGTTGGATATTTTTCCTGTTGATTTTAACATTGTTTACATTTTATGAATGAGTATTATTACGAGCAGGAAAAAAGGCGTATTCGCAACTTGAAGGACTTTTTATACATTAAATGAAAAAGGACAAAGGTGAAAGATGCGTACCGTCACAGAAAACCCGCCACTCTGACAATAGTGGAAAAACGTGTCTTGAAATGAAAGCTACGTTTTTCCACTTTATTTTTATACATTGCAAGCAACAAACTTGGGAACAAAAAATCCTCCCAATATGGAAAGGGAAAATAAATGAATGGAAGAGCTCCTGTAAGGAATATTGTGGCGTAATAAATAGTGAATAAATAGGGCTTAAATATGGAAAGTGCCAGAAAACAGACTAAAAAGTGAACACGGTGCTTTTTATACATAACCCTCTTTGTCTTACATGCATCTCCGCATCATGTTAGCATGCTAACGACTTTGTACATGAATTTGTATGTAATAGGACAAATATATACAGGAATATTTGCTAGCAAGGCTTAAATGTAAAATGAAAGCATTAATACATTTTACACACCTGATGACTGTGCAAGTTGAGAATCCTGAGGAGGCTTGGCGTGACGTCTTAATCTCCAGATACTGATAAATCAAATGAATTGCCAGATGCCAAGAAAGAGAAGCTAAGGAGAAGTCTCTGCTCATTAATTAATTCATATATGCACCTAATATAAAAACCTTTATTTTACTCCTCTAAAAGTAATACAAAATCATGAGTATCAGGGAAGAAGGGAAAATTTGGCTGTGGATTCAGCCTTTTGGAGTCTGGCGATTTCCATTTGATTTATTTGTATGTTGCAGAATAATGCTGTTCCTAAAACAAATGACCTGCAGTTTGCTATTCCAATTGCAGCTTGGCTGATTTATGATGACACTGACAGAGTTCAATGTATCAGTTGGTATGGCTGATATTGAATTAAAAACCAAATTGCAAAAGTTAGGCTAAAGTAGCCAAGTGTTGAATTTAGGAGAGATTGAGAATTTTTCCAGCTCTGCTACTTTTGACTACATATTACAATTTGGTTTTCATTCACCACAGTTTGGGGTTTAGCGAATAATCCACCAGGGGTTTTATTCATGTTTTAAACAACTTCGAGGTGTCATAAGATTACATAGTTACATAGGCTAAAAATAGTCATGGGTCCGTCAAGTATTTACTGTTGATCGAAAAGAAGGCAAAAATCCAGTTTGAAGTGTGCCTGGAAAGAATAAGCATTATTTGGGGACAGGGAGGGGGGGCAAAGAGCGTGTGGATAGCATGAAACTCAGGATTATTCAAAAGGTTCATATTTGGTGTGGATGGACAGCATTTGACTAAAATCAAAGAAGATTTGCAGCTCTTTAAGGACACATGACACGTGTGACATGTCATGATTCCCTTTTATTCCAGAAGTTTGGTCCTTAAGGGGTTAATAAAGGCAAATTCTTTTGAGCAAGTATCATCTGGTGTCTAAAATCAGTCATTTTCACTTGTGAATCCTATATAAAATATATGATCTTGTGAACAATTTCTGGATTTTGCCATCCGAATGTCCCCAGACATTACCATACTATTTTTGCTTATCCGGACCAGTGGCATTTAGATTTTAATGCATAATGCTGACTGTGTTTTGTGAAAGATGTATTGCAGCCTCAAATGATCCCTATCTCAGCAGCTCAAGCTAGTTATATTGTATATCATCCTCTGCTTCTCACATGATTGATCAGTAGAAAAGTCTGTCATTACCCGTAGGTACTGATTGATGGATTGGGATAGCAGAAGTAAATAAAACCCAGATGAACATCATAAATCAATATAAGTTTTTCCCCTGTCTCCTAAACTGAACATAAAACTAAAAATATGTAATGTGGATACACCGTTTTTTGGACTTGTATAATACATATCACATGTTCTGCTCAATGAGTATATAGCAGGTATGTGCTAAAATTCTTTTGGAATACTTCCTTGATTAAAACCTTTACTTCCTTCCAGTATCATATGAATTGTACATACTCGAGGGCAGTGCTTTTCATGCACTAATCATTAGCATGTGTCCAGGAAAGCATTAATACATTGCAACACAATGAAATTAGACTAGCTGGGTTATTCTAGATAGGTGTGAATTTAAAAAAAATGGAATTGTAAATTTTATCTAATCTATACTGATTGTCCGATTCTTAACTAGGAAGAATGAAATCATGCGTTAACAGACATCAGCACTCCAAAAATATTACTGTGAAGGTGAAACCTTTAACTGCAATGGAAATCTTATTTTGTAATGATAACTGTCTATCAGATCCTGATATAGACTCCCTACCATGATGGTTTTATTTTTAATGGCATAACCGTTCGGGCATTAACCCCATCACTACCGAAGTAATATCATTTCCTGAGATGATTTACTCGGAGTGTGCTTTAATATAAACCAGGATTGACAAACTCCAACATACAAACTACAATTCCCATAAATCTATGCCTATCTTTTTCATTCAAGGAATTTGGGGATTTGTATTTCACCACCATCTGGTAGACTGGAGTTTGACAACCGTGATAAAAACAGTTATTGACTACCAAGATTTTCTAAATAACTTTTTTTCCCTCAACAGACAAAACATAATATACAAAGTAGGGATATGGCTGGACTGTAGAACTTGTGTTTGTACTATAAGATGTTATGTTGTTTTTTTTTTTTTCCATCTCACTATCCTTTTGCACACACTGAATAAGAATATATAATCTGCATGAAAAATATATTAATAACATGCGTTATTGTGAATAGCAAACGGTTATGTAATATTTGGGATGATTAATGGTGTCACGGTTCGTGGCCATGCTTATAAACAGTTATTTTCACTTGTATAACAGGGTACAAACAAACATTGGTGCTAGGGTTTTCATTGCCATATTAAATGTATATGTCTACGATTTCTAATTATCTAAAGGAGATGTTACTAATGGATACAAAGCATATATTATACTTTCCTAACCTGTAATACATGTAACCAGTTGGATAAGAAAATGATTCCGTACCTGTTAAGTTAATATTGTTTGGTGCTTAAAAGTTCATTGTTTATGGGAACATTTCCACATAAAAGTCAATATTTGATGTATATGGTTGTGGAAATCTGTGCTCTATAACACAAAAGGCTGAACAATGTCATTTCTACACACATTTTGAAATCTTGTTTTGAGGTTGAGGTCACAGATTAGGTGACTTTCTGTCTCTATATATTACAATTTTAAAGAACCTGGCATTTAAACTAGAGACTGGTCATCAAGAACTTAATTTGCAAAACAACGATACATTGATACAATATATGTATGATCGCTTTTAAATTTCGATGCTCAGAGCATCAGACTTTGTATGTATTGGAGGTGTCCATGTGTGTGTTATATTACATGTGTGCAGAAAGACAAAAAAAAAATTTCCTGCTGCAAATTTCTAAACCCCAACCTTTTATTCTTATCTTGAAGAACAATAGCTTGCTTTGTAATGTACTTTACACAACCGGCTTGAGCAATGCATGTTACACAAAATCAGATTCATATTTCAGAATTGGTCAGTAACGCATGAAGAAGCATTGATCATCAGTGCAAGAATATAACGATCTTTCCTTTATTGATCACCTCTCACGGTAAATCATGTCAGGAAGAAAAGGGAGAGAATTATTTGGTACTATGGTTTTTAAAAGAAGAAGTATTTTCCTTGTTCAGATCTCCCATCTAATTAAAAAAAATGTATAAAAATTATCATAGTGCTTTGATAAGCATTAAACATACATTAAACGAAGAAAACATTTTCAAATACAAGTTACGCCTAAATAAAATGACGGCAGAATTAAAGTGACTAAATGTAGAATTGACCATTACATCCAGAATTAAATCGGAATAGGGAATTTCAAATATTTTAAGTTTTGTCAGAGGGGTTATTAAATAAATCAGGGAGAAATGGCACATTTTAGGTCAAAATGATGTCTCCAATTGGCGTATACGTTCAGGTTCCAATTTAGCAGAAAGCTTTGAAGGTGTGTAAGCAATTTTAAACATATTTAATTGTTACAAAGTATTCTTTCCTATAATAAAACATGACTTTTAGTTTACCTGTGCAGTAATTATCCCAATGGACCGATTTGTTAAGGATATTCATTAGGAAACCAGTGCTATTTTACTAAGAGGTACTTGTTGGATAAAAGGTAGAGATTGGGAAATACAAGGCTCTGGTAATTTCTTACAAATGATAAATAATTAATCCACCCATTGTTAAGCGCTGCGGAATTTGACGGCGCTCTATAAATATCATAATAATAATAAAATGGTTGACAAATTCTGTTTTATATCAGGAGCCATTGCATTTTAAAAAACAAATAGTCCAGATATTGAAAAAATCGTTGACCTATCAGTTTTCAAAAAGTCAAGCTAATGTATTAATTTGTGGAGAGGTTCCATGTAAGTAATTATAGTGTACTTTAAAAATTGCTGGCTAACCATTCAGGTTGTGTTATATAATTACTTTTGGCAGAGAAAATAATAAACAGTTTAAATGTAGCAGAAAATCTAAATATCAATACCAGTGATATTGCGTTGCAAAGAAAATGAAATAAAATATTCCCATATTATAATGAATATGTGCTGGCAATATAATACACACATTGGCACAACGCTGCAATGCTGCAAATACTGTGGGGCTCTCCCGGGATCCAAACACTGAGGACATAAATGACTTTGGAAAATTCAGAAGTTTTTAGCATTCCATTAAAACCAAGCCCAGATGTGGTTTTACTTTGTGTTAACATTTTATTAACCATTAGAGCAAAAGAAAATATATTTTTTTATTGCCATAGAGATCACAAAAGCAAAATGGATAGTTAATTAAACACTAACAGGGTTATTTACTTAAAGGGAAACTATAGTGCCAGGAAAACAAAGTTGTTCCATCACGCCCCCTCCCTCCCATGGTGCAGAAGGGGTTAAAAATCCCTCCTGTCATTTACATGAGTCTAGCGCCAATGTCCCTCTGCATTGGTTCAGGCTCTGCCAACACCCCTCCATATGCTTTCCTATGGGGATTTACACAATGCTGGATGTCCTCATGCATAGCGACCTAACGCCCCAGGAAGTACCTGTAGTGGCTGGCTGGTAGACAGCAACTAGAGGTGGAGTTAACCCTCAAAGGCAATTATTACAATATACTAAAAACTGCAGTACCTTTGCAGGGTTAAGGGATCTTGGGCTATGCACCCAGACTACTTTAATGAGCTGAAGTGGTCTGGGTGCCTATAATGTCACTTTTAAGTGAGCATTCAGAGCAAATTGAAAGTGAATTTCAAATTTAAAGGGACTCTATAGTCACCAGAGCAACTACATCTTATTATATTTGTTCTGGTGAGTAGAATCATTCCCTTCAGGCTTTTTGAAGTAAACACTGTCTTTTCAGAGAAAATGCAGTTTCTACATTACAGCCTAGGGGTAACTCCACTGGCCACTCCTCAGATGGTTACTAAAGGTGCTTCCTGGGGCAGTACTGCCACTCAGTTTCTCCACCCTCTGCATGGAGACACTGAACTTTCCTCATAGAGATTCATTGATTCAGTGCATCTGTATGAGGAAATGGTGATTGGCCAGGGCTGTGTTTGACTTATGCTGGTTCTGCCCCTGATCTGCCTCCTTGACAGTCTCCTATGGGAAAGCATTGTGATTGGCTCTGAGACTGACTTCTGATGATGTCAGCCAAGTACCCAGATTAGAGGCAGCTGCTGCAGACTAGAATAAAAGTAAGATTTTACTAGATTTAGGGAGGCAAGGGTAGGTGGGGGGGCATAGGGGGCTAGACAGTGGTTTTAACACTATAGGGACAGGAAGACATGTTTGTGATCCTGACCCTATAGTGTTCCTTTAAAGGACCACTATAGGCACCAAGACCACTTCCGCTCAATGAAGTGGTCTGGGTGCCCGGTCCCCCTATTTTTAACCCTGCAGTTGAAGGGTTAATCCAGCCTCTAGAGGCTGTCTTTTTTCCTCAATATGTTGTGTGTGTGTATATATATATATATATATATATATATATATATATATATATATATATCTCTTGAACTAGTTTTAATTATGAAAATTACTTAGAAATTAGTTAAAGTGAATAAAGACCACTAAAAATGTCTCCTTATGTCCTTCCTGTCAAGTCATTTGAATGCTGGAAAAGCATAGCTGTATTCTGAGATTAACTTGTGTTTCTACATTATGATTAGCTGCTCTGAACAAACCGGTATTAAACTTAGAATTACAATGTGCTTAATAAATAAACATTTTTTATATTTACTGACTTATTATCTTGCATAGTAAAATGTTATCATTCTTGTATTTTACACTGTAAGCTGTGATGTCAAATATTCTGTTTTTTTTTAATTTTGTAGCAATGCGTTGTTTTCACATTTTACAATAGATATGAATGCATTGTATACATTGCCTTCGTATGCAGAAACAATGTAATGCAATTTGTTTCCGGTCATCATGACTCCTTTCGAAATAAATATTTCATTTTTGTAGCATTTATCGGATTGTCTCTGACTCTTGACTTGGATTATCTTGGCTATGTATAATCATTGGGTTAACCGTAATTAAAGGTTTACTCCAAGCACCATAACCACTTCATTTATATGAAGTCATGGTGCCTGGACTCTGTGTGTGTGTGTACTGTTTTTGCTTAGAAATGCAGCACATACAGAATTTAACCCCTCTGCTGCCAGATTTGTAACTCTACCTCCAGCAGCATCGAATAAGATTTCCAGGCTGGCTAATGTGAATTCTTTGCTTATTTGACATTTGTCATTAGCATGCCCATTGAATAGACCCCCCCCCCCCAACCCCAATGTTTCCCTTGTCTTCCTCTGACTTCCATCCCACTCCAGCAAGGTGGCGTTATGTCAGAAGAGGAGGATCAAGCTTTGGGAGAAATTGGCCTCAGCGTGTGAAAGAAAGGAGAATTTTAGCTATTTTTTTTTTATTATTATTATTTTTTTTTTGGAGGGAGAACCAGGATAAGAAGGGTTTCTCTAGCCAAAAATATTATTAACAGTTTTTTTTTTTTTTAGTAAACTTTTAACAGTAATTATTCTTACGGTTATTTACGTGATACAGGTATATGACGTTCAACCTTTCACACATCCCTTAAGTTGCTGCTGACGCTAAATAAAGCAATAATAACACACTAAAGTAATTTACAATTTGGCTACAAAAAGAGATAAATATTTTCTAGCTCATTAAGGTAAAAAATATTTTAAATGTCTATATTGAATGTTCTAGCACTGTCTGAAGATAATAAATCAGTTCAATCCTACTGGCACAGAATTCCATATTGTAATCCATCTTACTTTAAAGATCACTTTGTGCTGTTGTAAGTGAAATCTAATTTTCTCCATTCACATTGCATGACCTTTTTTGATGTCTTTTATACAACTCTTTTAAAGAACAGATCAGTAGAGAACTTTTATTAATAGCCTGCATACACTGATCAGCCACAACATTAAAACCACCTGCCTAATATCATGCAGGTCTCTCTTGTTGCCAAAACAGCTCTGATGCGCAGAGACATTGACTCCACAAGACCTCTGAACATGTCCTGTAGTATCTGGCACCAAGACATTAGCAACAGATCCTTAAAGTCCTGCAAGTTGAGAGGTGGGGCCTCCATGGACCAGATTTGTTGTTCCAGCATCTCCCACGATGCTCAATCAGATTAAGATCTTGGGAATTTGGAGGCCAAGGCAGCACCTTGAACTCTTTGTCATGTTCCTCAAACCATTTATAAACAAATTTTAGAGGGTGGCAGGTTTTATTATCCTCCTGAAAGAGGCCACTGCTATTAGGGAACACCATTGCCACAAAAGGATGTATGTGGTTTGCAACAATCTCTAGGTAGGTGGGACATGTCAAATTATTATCCACATGGTTTCCCAGCAGTACATTGCCCGGAGGATAACAAAGCGTTAGCTGGCCTGCCTTCTTCCCATAGTGCATCCTGCTGCCATTTCTTCCCTAGGTAAACAATGCACATACACCTGCCCATCTACCTGACATTTCTTCCCCCGGTAAACAATGCACATACACCCGACCATCCACCTTCTTCCTTTGCTCCATGGTCCAGTTCTGACACTCACGTCTGCACTGAAAGCACTTTCGGCGGTGGACATGGGTCATCCTGGGAACTCTGACTGGTCTGCAGCTATGCAGCCCCATACCCAGCAAGCTACCATGGCCAGCATAACATTTTTCAGCAATTTGAGCTACAGTGGCTCTTCTGCGTGATGAAACCATACCGCCAATTTTTTCTACTTCCAACACATGAAATTCAAGACCTGACTGTTCACTTACTGCCTAATATATCCCACCCCTTGACAGGTGTCATATTAACAATATAATCAATGTTATTCCCTTCAACTACCAATGGTTTTAATGTTGTGGCTGATCAATGTATATTTTCATATCATCCTTTTGCTTTTAAAATAAACTCTTCTATAGTAAGAAACTGCAACCTTTAAATTTTCCTTTATAACCAAGGTCTGTACTTCCTTTATACATTTTGCAACCTGCCTCTGTAATTTTCCCTTTCAGGGATAAGAGAGACAACCCAGACATCTGGCCAGGAGTGCCATCTCAAGAGAGCTTTCGCATATGCGTGTATTTTAATGTTAAAAAAATGACAGTCAAACTCCTATGCCAATTGGTCAATACTCTGCTGGTGGAAGAAGGGGGTGTGAAATGATCACACCATGTAGCGTCTGCCACTATACATATAGAATGCTACATCACGACAGAGCATTACATCTCCTCCATGTGGCTGGATCACCAAGGAAGGATCCTATTCTGTTATAATAGGTAGGCAAGCTGGAGACGTGTCTCATTAAAGAATTTGTGGAAACAAAGTAAAGGAAAAAAAGTGTGAAATAATAATTGGGGGTGTGAGAGAGACAGCATCCAAAAGCAAATTTAGGATGCTGGAAAACTAAATTAAACTAAATATGGAAAGGGCAAATCAAAAAAAAAGAATCAAATATATTGTTATATTCTTTATTCCCTGTGTCATTCATGTATGTTGGACCCCCATCACTCCCTCCCATATGTATTATAAAGGCTTTATATGCACCACAATCACTTACATTTAAAATGGCATCAATCCCAGATGTGCAGAATCGTTACATTTGTGCCCATATTTTTTAAGCATGTTATTTCCAGTATCTTATTAGGTACAGCTGTTTAGGGTTTATGTATATGTATACACATAGCTTTGCAACGTTGAGTCAGTCTGACGTATGAAGTCCACATCCAGATATCAATACTTAATATCAATAGATATAAGTTGATTGCAGAAACTAATCACTAGTGTTTGCAGCATTACTGTGTATCCTTGCCATATTAAAGTTGAATTTGTAGTCGTGGGTGTACTGGAAATTCATTATCCCTAAGCCTTTATTACAGATCAGTTGATGGTAAATGGTAGAGTAATGTACATAAACTGATTGCAGTGAGCCACCATGCATTGGAGGACAGCTATCACACCTGACTTGGAATTTGCCAGGAGTCCATGTAATTGGCATCTTCAACCACTGGGGGGCACTGAAGTTCTTACTATGACTTAAAAAGTACATGTAATTAAGGGACGGACTAAAACCTTGGTATAGGTTAAGCTGCTGTGTCACTTTTGAACATTTCTTATATAAGCATTACAATCGAAAGGAAGTACATTAATAATGCAAAGATTTGTGTAGCTTCAAGCTATATATGGCACCAGTATATGAATATATTCAAGTTAGTAAACCTTTTTAAAGTGAAATCACCAAATGTCCTGGAAAGGAATATGGTATGCACAATAACCAGGAGCTTTAAAAGCCACAATATTACACATGGTCAACTCAACGTGAGTACGGTCAGCATAGATGTATGGTCAATGTAGATAAGAAAGGAAAGTGTAGAGTAATTCTGTAAGAGGAATGAAAGAACAGTGATAGACTTAGAGCTAGGGCAGGCATAGGCAACCTTCGGCACTCAAGATGTTTTGGACCACACCTCTCATGATCAGGGCTGCCATCAGAAATTTGGGGGCCCCTGACACAGCTCAAGGTCTGGGACCAGGCCCGTCACTCCAGGTGGCCCGGCCGCCCTACGGACCACTGCGCCCGGGTGCCTGCCGGCCATGTGTTCCGGCCCACGCGGTTTTACCAGGGGGCCCGGTCAGCGTTGCAGCGCTTTAACAGCACAACCGACCCCCTGTGATGACATCACAACGCAGGGAGGAAGTGACTGCCCCTGTCACTTCCTCCCTTCAATCACAGAGTGTCAGGATTACAGAATGATCCAGCACGTAGAATTGTGTAGCACAGAGGACTGATAGGCAGGGCCACCATCAGGGGGTGACAACCATGACAGGCCCCACGTGTAGTGGTGGAACTGCCGCCGGTGCAGTTTCGTTGGGGCCTATCGGATGGCCCACGCACTTAGGGCCTCCCGACAGGCCCTGTGTTTTCAGGGGCCCGGTCAGCGCTGCGGCCATGCAATAGCACGACCTGGCCCCATTAAAAAAAGAAAAATCGCAGCCGCAAAGTACTGCTGGGAGGAAGTGGCCGTCACTTCCTCCCAGCTCCCTCCGCGCCGCGCGGAAGAGAAGAAAGCCAGGCCGCAGCCTTCCACCTGCAAAAGAAAGGTAAGCAAAATTAGCTGTATTTGTGTATGTATGTATGTATTATGTCAGTATGTATGTCTGTATGTATGTTTATGTATGTCAGTATGTATGTGTGTCAGTATGTATGTGTGTGTGTGTATGTGTGTCAGAATGTCAGTGTGTATGTGTGTATGTATGTGTGTCTGTATGTCTGTCTGTCTGTTTGTCAGTATAGGTGTGTGTGTATTTATGTCCTTATGCGTGTGTGTGCATAGGAATTCGTTCATATTGTTTATTGTCCGGCACCCAACAGTGTCTTAGGGACCGTGAACTGGCCCCCTGTTTAAAAAGTTTGATGACCCCTGTCATTATGTATGTATGTATGTCAGTATGTCTGTATGTCGTTATGAACGTATGTCTGTGTGTATGTGTGTATGGATGTCAGTATGCATGTATGTCAGTATGTATGGATGTATGTATGTATGTCTGACAGTATGTCTGTATATATGCATGTATGCCAGTATGAATGTATGTCTGTGTATGTATGTATGTATGTATGTGTGTATGGATGTCAGTGTCTGTATGTCTGTCTGTATGAATGTATGTCTGTCAGTATGTCTATGTATGTATATGTATGTATGTATGTCAGTGTGTATGTATGTCTGTGTATGTATGTGTATGTCCTCATGCATGTGTGTCTGTATGTATGTTAGTGTGTGTCTGTCACTATGTATGCCTGTTTGTCTGTATGTGTGTATGTCTCAGTATGTGTGTGTCAGTATGTATGCCTATATGCATGTATGTCTGTTTCAGTATGTGTGTCTGTTAGTATGTATCTGTGTGTGTTTGTGTATCTGTGTCCTTTTGTATCAGTGTGTGTTTTTGTGTCTGTGTGTGTTTTCCTGTGAGCGGGATTGGAGGCGGGCCTCAGAGGGCCCAGACCCTAAGCTGAGTTAGGGGCCCCAAAATTTCTGGTAGCGGCCCTGCTGATAGGTAACGTATACTGGACCTTAGAATGGCCGGACTAATGTACCAAAGAATAGTCAGGAATAGCCGAGGTCAAGGGATACAGAAAGAGACACACTGATAAGGAAAAGCCAGGAGTCAGGAATGCCAGAAAACAGGGAAGTCAAAAACAATGCCAAAGTCAAATAACCAGAATTACCAGAATCAATAACAAGCTCTCGGACAACCACAAGTGAAACCACAGCAGGGCACTGAGCAGGATGAGAACTGGGCCTAAATACCCCTCCTCTGAATCTGATAGGCTGTAACCGGCCTTTGACCCCAAAGGCAGTTACCAGGTTTCATTTGCATAATTGCTGCTCAGCATTAACCCATCTGTGGATTTGGTTGCTGCTCGGCACAACTTTTCCTGTGTTGACAGTAAATGCCATTAACCACATTTTTATAAGTGGATGAATACGTGACACAGAGCCCGCGCGGGAGGAAGAGAGGATGGAGCCAGAGTGGGAATTGACTCCCTCCTAGTTTTTAGTTACGCCTCTACAAGTGTGGTATTTGAGAATTGCACTGTAGGCACTGCACACAAGTGGTACGGCTGCCAAGACATCCATGTTGTTTTGTCAGGTTTGCCCTAGTGTGCATTAGCCAGGGGGTCCAGAGTCGTGCTTATATGCAGTGTTATGTTCCACAGGGGACTCAATTCCTTTCTTTGAGATCAACTGTCTGAACCCGTTGTGCTGCAAACACTTAGACAGCTGTATTTCTTGCCCAAACCATGCACCACAAAATTTCTATTATCTTGGTTAACTTGGCAGCAAATCACTTCTATTTAGACATTTTGCCTATTGGGGTATAAATATAAATTAAAATCGCATTTTGTATGGTGAGCAGCCTGTGGTTACCTCACCAACCCAGAAGAGGATGGAGTTTCTGTACTACAGAGCAAACTGTGAGATTTATACACAATAATAACCATTGAACGGTAATAAACTCAGAATGGTAAAAAGTAAGGCCTGATATTAAACCAACCTGTTATAAGCAAATTAAAGGAACACTATAGTCACCTAAATTACTTTAGCTAAATAAAGCAGGTTTAGTGTATAGATCATTCCCCTGCAATTTCACTGCTCAATTCACTGTCATTTAGGAGTTAAATCACTTTGTTTCTGTTTATGCAGCCCTAGCCACACCTCCCCTGGCTATGATTGACAGAGCCTGCATGAAAAAAAAAAACTGGTTTCACTTTCAAACAGATGTAATTTACCTTAAATAATTGTATCTCAATCTCTAAATTAAACTTTAATCACATACAGGAGGCTCTTGCAGGGTCTAGCAAGCTATTAACATAGCAGGGGATAAGAAAATCTTAATTAAACAGAACTTGCAATAAAGAAAGCCTAAATAGGGCTCTCTTTACAGGAAGTGTTTATGGAAGGCTGTGCAAGTCACATGCAGGGAGGTGTGACTAGGGTTCACAAACAAAGGGATTTAACTCCTAAATGGCAGAGGATTGAGCAGTGAGGCTGCAGGGGCATGATCTATACACCAAAACTGCTTCATTAAGCTAAAGTTGTTCAGGTGACTATAGTGTCCCTTTAATATTTACTGCATCTGAGATTCCATAAAACCAGCCATAAACACATGTAAATACAATGTAACACAGTAGTGCTAGGCCCAATGCACCCTTATTACTGGCAATATGACAGCGGAATCCAAGCTTCAATCTGGATGTTTATTTCACCCTTACACCTGGCTGAATGGAAAGATAGGTAATCCAGGCGTTGAAAGGACCCTCATATAGCCCCACACAAGATAACCTGCCCACTGGCCACCGAGAACTAGTGCTCTCTCTCTCTGAAATTTCTTAGGGAAATGGCAGCGTCTCACTCTTCCTTTTGTAATGCACAGACAAATTCTGGGATCAGCAATATGGGATCACTTCCATTAGGAAGATATAACTAAGCAAGCTCTGTGAAAGGGTGACTGCTCAGTGACGCAGTCCAGCCCAGCTCCCTTGACTGTATCTCTTGCAATATATTTGTTATATCTGTATCAATTCACCTTCAGTCTGGATTCTCCGTGTAGTATATTAGGCAGACATTTATGAGTTTTGTAATTCATTCAGCACTAAACAGCATCTGCAGTCTTGTAATGTCATGAGTGAAACTGAAGTGGCACAGAAAACCATGAGAGAGACTGTCGGAGGAGGGGATTGGTTTAGTGTATTCACACCATGCAATCATACAGAATAAAGGTACCTTTACAGTCTACGTAGAGCCCCCCGTGCAGTATTTGATCAAGGTATTATATTTAGAGATGCAATATTTTTCTTACAGGAACAGAGATCTCCATTCCCCATAACCTATACAAGGAGCACATTTCGTGGATTATCCCATTAAATAGTTATTTCCTTTTACGTACAATAAACATTTACACCATAAGTATCCCAGAACCCTTACTCCAAATAAATTAACTTTGCTCTTAACATTAATATGTACTAAGTATCAAACAAGTACACAATGTTCACTTAGTAAATTAAGAGCCATATGTCTGCTGATAATCACAGGCTAGTCTGAGGTCAGATCGCGTCAAACGCACGGTCAAGATCCTTCTTCTAATTAGAGTTTAATCAGGGAGAACTGAACTTCGGCTTAGGCTACGTATTCTCACCAGGTCCCTAATATTCATTAAATTAATAAATCTTGTTTGCAGCTTTTCACAGTACAGTCATGGGTGAAAGCATGATAGGCATGCAGCAATAATTCCAATGCTAATTACAAAGTACATTTTCTCTACATATCTGAACCTAGTTGCCAGTAGGAAAAAATTTAGTTTAGTAGAGAAATTACAATTTTGTAGATTATACACAGATCAGCCACAACATTAAAACCACTAACACGTGACGTAAGTAACATTGATTATATTGTTAGAATGGCACCTGTCAAAGGGTGGTATATATTGTTGGAAGCAGGGAAAATTGGCAAGCGAAAAGATCTGAGTGACTTTGACAAGGGCAAAATCGTGATGGATAGATAACTGGGTCAGAGCATCTACAAAACAGCAAGTCTTGTGGTAAATTCCCAGTATGCATTGGTTCCTGAAACAAGAAAAAACTACTTACCAAAGGTGGTGGCTATCCAAAACTGGACTATACCACCCACTAAATGGAAAGTCACACCTTAGATGACACTCCAGTAATGTCAAGGGGCATAACCCCAATTGGTTAAGTACTAGGCAACAACCTTCCTGTTACTGGTTTCTAGGTCCGGAGACAGGAATGTCAACTGGAAAATCGATAGTCAAATAAATCAATATAAAAATTGAGTAGATAGATCATAGGAATATATAGAGTGTTCATACGTGGAACTGTTCCACGTATGAACACTCTATATATTCCTATGATCTATCTACTCAATTTTTATATTGATTTATTTGACTATCGATTTTCCAGTTGACATTCTTGTCTCCGGTCCTAGTAACCAGTAACAGGAAGGTTGTTGCCTTGCATTGGTTCCTACCTACCAAAAGTGTGGCAAGGACGGACAACTGGTGAATAGGAGTTACGGTCATGGGCACCCAAAGCTCATTGATGCATACGTGGAACGAAGGCTATCCCATCTTGAGTGCCTTCAATCGAGATGTGAGAATCAGAAATGGACCATGGAGCATTGGAAGAAGGTTGCCTGGTTGGATGAATCACATTTTCTTTTACGTCAGGTGGATGGCTGGGTGCTTATGCTTTGTTTATCTTGGGAAGACATGGCAGCAGGATGCACTATGGGAAGAAGGCACACCGGCGGGGACAGTGTTATGCTCTGGGCAATGTTCTGCTGGGAAACCTTGGGTCCTGGCATTCAAGTGGATGCTACTTTGACACATACCACCTCCTTGAGATTGTTGCAGACCACGTACACCCCTTCAAAGCAATTCTGTTCCCTGAAAACAGTGGCCTCTTTCATCAGGATAATGCAACCATGCCACACTGCAAACATTGTTTAGAAATGGTTTTAGGAAAATAACAATGGTGTTGGTCTCAAAATTCTCCAGATCTCCATCTGACTGAGCACCTGTGGGATATGCTGTAACAACAAATCCAGTCCATGGTTGCTCCACCTCGAAACTTGCAGGACTTAAAGGATCTGCTGCTAATGTCTTGGTGCCAGGTACTAAAGGACATGTTCAGAGATCTTTTGAAGTCCATGCATTGACAGAGCTGTTTTGGCAGCACAAGGGGGACCTACATAAAATTAGCCATGTTGTGGTTGATCAGTGTATCTTCACATAAAGCAGTTAGTGTAATAACTACATTTCAATTTATTCCAAGATCCAGAATGGAATGAAAGTATCATTAGATTATTGGGCAAACTCATACATGCATCTTCAGGACAATAGAGGTGTAGATAAAACTGACATTTATCCTATGGTTGAATGGTAGAAACTAATCAGGCCCTTCTGGGGTGACCTTGTCTGGCCGTCTGGATGTTGCGGTGAGAACCTTGACACACAACGTCTTTTCCAGAGCAGCCTGTATTTCTCCTGAGGTTACCTGTGTGTTTTTCTTTGTATCTCGAACAATTCTTCTGGCAGTTGTGGTTGAAATCTTTCTTTGTCTACCTGACCTTGGCTTGGTATCAAGAGATCCCCGAATTTTCCACTTCTTAATAAGTGATTTAACTGTACTGACTGGCTTTTTTATTGCTTTGCATATCTTTTTATACCCCTTTCCATCAGTTTAAAGTTCCAATACCTTGTTACACAGGCCTTTTGACAGTTCTCTTCTGCTCCCCATGGCTCAGTATCTAGCCTGCTCAGTGCATCCACGTGAGAGCTAACAAACACATTGACTATTTAAACACAGACATTAATTGCAATTTAAAAAGAAATAACCTTTAATTGCAATTTTAACCTGTGTGCGTCATCTTGTGTGTCTGTAAGAAGGCCAAACATTCAAGGTTATGTAAACTTTTGATCGGGGCCATTTGGGTGATGCTATCATTATGACTTAAAAAGGAGCCAAACAACTATGTGATAATAAATGGCTTCATATGATCACTATCCTTCAATAGAAGACATTTTTGCATGATCAGTCATATTTTCAAAATCAATGCCAAAATGTCACAATTTCTGCAAACCTTTGAGTACAACTGTACATTCTATTATAAAGAAGTCTTATAAATATAAGCTTTGTCTAAATGTTGATACCAAAAGTATAAGCACATAGAACACAATCACATAAGGTATTGGGGCAAAATATTGCAAAATCAAACAAGTACAAGAAAATATAAGAAGTGAGCCAAAGATCTCAAGCACTCATCTCCATTTTTTTCTTTGTTGTTGATAATCAATAAAAGAGACTATATTTTAAAAAAATAATATCACCAACAGGGTTATTTGCTAAAGTGCGAATTGTTGGGAATTCAAAGTGTAAGGCAAAAATACAGAAACTGGAAAAATCCTTCAAATCAGCTATGCTTCTAGTTTGAACTCCCAACAAGCTAGCTAGGAGCTTTTCTTCAGTAGCAACACATGGAGTCAGGGCCGGATTAACATAGGGGCTGATGGAGCTGCAGCTCCTGGCCCATGCCATAGGAACTATGCCCATTAGTAAAAAAATTTTTAGAAAAAACAAAACAAAAACATTTTCCTTTTTTTTTCTTTTTTACTCTTCACATGCTCTTGCTTAAAGGACCACTCTAGGCACCCAGACCACTTCAGCTTAATGAGGTGGTCTGGGTGCCAGGTCCTTCTAGGGTTAACCCATTTTTTTTATAAACATAGCAGTTTCAGAGAAACTGCTATGTTTGTTAAGCCTTCCTCCAAATCCTCTAGTGGCTGTCTCATTGACAGCCGCTAAAGGCGCTTGCGTGCTTCTCACTGTGAAAATCACAGTGAGAGCACGCAAGCGTCCATAGGAAAGCATTATGAATGCTTTCCTATGCGACCGGCTGAATGCGCGCGCAGCTCTTGCCGCGCGTGCGCATTCAGCCAACGGGGCGGATCGGAGGAGGAGAGGAGGTAGAGAGCTCCCTGCCCAGCACTGGAAAAAGGTACGTTTTTACCCCTTTCTCCCTTCCAGAGCCGGGCGGGAGGGGGACCCTGAGGGTGGGGGCACCCTCAGGGCACTATAGTGCCAGGAAAACGAGTATGTTTTCCTGGCACTATAGTGGTCCTTTAAGTATGGAAACTTAAGAGGGATGTAGGGGAACAAAACTTGTGTGTACTAGCTGAAATTAGTAAAGGTCAAGCTGACTTTACTATGCAAATGCTCTTGCTCCTTCAGTCTGTGGCATGTTCTCTTTCTTCTATACTCACTACATACACCTTTCCTCTGTCCCTGACTGTATAACAGAAGCTTTGCCTGCTAGTAAGAATGTAAGGAGAGCAGTGGACAAGCGAATGCTTGGGAACAGTCCTTAGAAAGCGTGGAGTGAGTACATCATTAGACACATTTATGCCAAGTTCAGGGTGCTGTTTGCATGGTATGCCCTTTTTTGGCCAGTCTGCATAATTGGCAGGTTGCCTGTTATAAATTTATACCAGGCTGACCTTCTAATTCTTTGGGCAGACTAACCCTCTTTTTGGGCATGCTCGCCCCTTTGGGCAGTTCTGCTAACATAATTTGCGTCAGTGGCCCACCCATTTACCCCGCTCACTGACATTCTACTTCACCAGACACTGCAGATAGAGGGTATGGATTTACTTGAGAGATGAAAGTGAGACATTAGCATAGGGTATGTGTTTTCTTATAGCTGCATCCTGTGAGTTTCCCTCCAGCACCACCTCCACCAGATACATGACGCTTGGGAGATAGGACTGTTTTAGAATTTTCTGTCAATACAATTCTGTAATTAGGTCCATCATAATTGTCAGCACCAGGCACAATGGGTGCTTAATCTGGCCTTGCATGGAGTTAGATTAGGCCTTGCTTGATTTGGGGATTTTGGTTCAGTTAGACAGTATTGAGAACCCGTAGGAAAGCATCAGATATCTTGGTCAACTTGAAAAGTGACCAATAATGGGTAACCTGCAGAGATCTGACTGCAAACCATTGATACTTGATGGCCTTCTCCTGTAGGACCTGGATCACTGATTGGGAACACTGGAGTGACATGAGAGAGGAACAATAAATATCCATATAAAACGTAATAATAGTTCTCAAACAGATATGGAGATGATTCCTGTACAACTGCCATTACAGCCATTGATTATCCGTGAAGCTAATATGAACTGCACAATAACATCTCACGTGGTGGAAATTGAACCCTTTGCAGATTTATTGTAATAGTGGTTGTCATCCTGTGTAGTTTAGTTTCTTTGAGTGGTTGCATAACATAGAACAGCAGAACGAATAAGAAATCTCTTTTTTGGAATTTTATATTTTTGCTGTGCAAAGGGTTTCCAACAGGCCTGTAATGCCACAATAGCAAATGCAGGCAATGTGAAGCACATAACGTCATGACATTGAGTGAACTGCACAATTTTTTGTATAAGAAAACATGGTCATGCATAATATGTCAGTAGGTATGCTAGTATGAGCATTAATAGAAGCAGGCTAGGTGTTAGTCTTAATAGTAGAGCATAGTATAACATGAGCAAGTTAGGGAACACATCAGTGGAGAGTTAAGGGAAAACAGGAAATATATCACGCTATATTAAAGGACCACTATAGGCACCCAGATCACTTCAGCTCAATGAAGTGGTCTGGGTGACAGGTCCCTCTAGTTTTAACCCTGCAGCTGTAAACATAGCAGTTTCAGAAATACTGCTATGTTTCACTGAGGGTTAATCCAGCCTCTAGTGGCTGTCTCACTGACAGCCGCTAGAGGCACTTCCGCGCTTCTCACTGTGAAAATCACAGTGAGAAGACGCTGACGACCATAGGAAAGCATTGAGTAATGCTTTCCTATGGGCAGTTTGCATGCACGCGTGGCTCTTGCCGCCCATATGCATTCCACACTGACGTCGGCAGGGGGAGGAGAGTTCCCAGCGCCGAGGGAGCCCGGGACTGGAGAAAGGAAAGTGGCTGAAGGGATTTTAACCCCTTCAGCCCAGCGGGGGTGGGAACCTAAGGGTGGGGGGGACACCTAAAGACCCTATCCTTTAACTGACATTTCTATTAGTAATATTACCACTGGGTAGTAGACATTGGCATCTGGGAAAAGCATTCTGGAACTTAAGTTAACAGGAGACCTAAACAGGAGATTAGGAACATCGGTAGGCAGTAGACATGCTAGGTGAAGCAAAACTTTGCATATTGTGGTGACAGTACATGTTAAGTATGGCAAATGGCATTTAAACTCAGAGGGGACTCAGAGCGTATGCAAGCACACAGTATAAAAGGCACGCTCAGCCTACTCCGCTGATCGGCAAGCTTAGGGTGCACACCATAGCGGCTAATTGTCCCTTTCACAGACTCGCGCTGTATGAAGTGTAGAGCCGTCATGCAACAAGGGAGACTCGGGCACAAGGCAGCAGTTCCATGCTTGGGTATGGTTCCCTTCTGGCCCCAGGCCTGTGAGAGAGCTTGCACTGGTTGAGGAGATGAGCCCTGCGTGCGAGGTCGACCCTGGACGGACTGAGGCTTAGGTAATTTGTGGCTACCAACATTGCTGAGCCTCCGGGATTGATCTGCCTGACGCTTCTTTTTCCTCCTCCTTCTTGCTTTCAGAGCCAAAACACGGCCACGTAAAGCAGGCTGTGGGTTGAGGACACTTCCAGTGAGTGTCAGTGTGGAGCTTGCCATAACTTCCTTCTCTGCTCTTTGGCTTATGGTAGCCCAGAATTGAGACCAAAGGCGCTTGAAGGCCTGCTCTATCCACACCTCGTGGAAAGCCTAGGTTGTTGCGGCAGCCATCTTGTAAGGCTTGTCACGGCTATTAGATCTTGCAGATTTTGCTGACTTTATTTGTTCTCCGTGGCTGTTTACCACTGCAGCAAGTCAATCCATCAGTGGGTAACAGGATATCCCCCCACCCCCGGTCCAAAAGAGGGGGAACAGGGCACAGAAACAAGCAGGAACTGTGTGAGGTGGAAGAGCGGCTGTCCCCATTACTCCACTGTGGCAGGCCTTGGACACTGTCAGTGCTGACCTCTCACAGCCTGTCTTCTCAGACGCATTCACCCTACTTACATTGCGTGAGTAAGTAGATAGGGCAGGATTGCTGTTGGAAATTGGGTTCAACCTGTGGTCAGATTAAAGCTTTTCGTCGAGTAGCTGTAGCTTCATGCATCTGCCTCGGTTGGCTGTCAGGCCCCGCCCCCCCCTTACACTGATTTTGATTCCTGCACCGGTTTATTTCTTCAATTTCTGCCATGTTATAAGAGAGGTCTCCTGAAGTTAACCATGCCTGAGACATGTTGAGAATCTATCTCTATAGTGTTCTCTTCGGAGGCTCTAATGTGGCCTACTAGCTTATGATCTTTCAGATAATAGATAGGCCCACTTGAATGAGCCATTTGATGTCTGCAAGGACTGTCCTGAGTATATCTGTATGGGTCATATCATGCCCTTTGTTATGAGGGGGAAATAGCATCATATCTCCAGAAAGTGCAGTGGTGGACAAACCCGATAGAGGAAGAAAAAACATTTGGATGTGGATGTTGCTGCTTGCTTCCATTGGCTGTAGAAAAGATGGACTGTGGTACCAATGGCCAGTTACATAATAACAGTAATGGTCATGAGATGCTGCAAGTGCAGATGGGACCCAAAGTCACAGCATTATCCTTCTGCTTCTCATGGGTGGAGGCCGGAGGGGTTATGTCAAGTTAATAAGTATATGTGAAAGCAAACAGTATATCCAATTATCATGCACTTGCCAGAAATCCTATTTTAGCCTCAGTTGAGATTACAAAAGAACATTAAGTAAACTTGCACATTGTGGCTGTGTTCACGCCATAGACATGTCATGTAGATAAATGGAACAATGTGTAGATAAAGCATACAATTGCCAGAGATTGATAAAAGATGTATCTTTTCAGTGATTATATCTATCTATCTATCTATCTATCTATCTATCTATATATCTATCTATCTATCTATATATCTATCTGTCTATCTATCTATCTATTTATCTATGTATCTATCTATGTATCTATCTATATATCTATCTATCTATCTGTCTGTCTGTCTATCATGTTGTTCACTGACATACAACCCTAGGTATTGCGCCAATAAGCAAACAATGCTGATGTCTTCATGCACGTTACACATAAGGCTGGGAGCACTTTGGAACATCTGTGATTATTTTCACACATGAAATATTATTCAGAGGTAATCTACCAAAATAGGAAGGATGCATTTCATGTTCATCTGTCAAATCAAATAGCTTCTAACAAGTCAATAGAGGGTACATGGTGCGTAATACCAGCTGGTCATTTATCAAGATAAGTTATTATCAGGTGTCCTGTCAATCAATGCGTTCCTTTGGGTACACAGTGTGGTGAGTTAGATCATAGAAACATGCTTTAGATTTCATTTATAGTGGTGAGAAACATGTGTGAACTTTTTTGATTTTTACATTGATATTTACCTAAAATATAAGTAACCTCTAATCTATTCATTTTTAAAGGACCACTCTAGGCACCCAGACCACTTCAGCTTAATGAAGTGGTCTGGGTGCCAGGTCCTTCTAGGGTTAACCCATTTTTTCATAATTATAGCAGTTTCAGAGAAACTGCTATAATTATGAATAGGTTAAGCCTTCCCCCTAATCCTCTAGTGGCTGTCTCATTGACAGCCACTAAAGGCGCTTGCGTGCTTCTCACTGTGATTTTCACAGTGAGAGCACGCAAGCGTCCATAGGAAAGCATTGTAAATGCTTTCCTATGCAACGGGCTGAATGCGCGCGCAGCTCTTGCCGCGCGTGCGCATTCAGCCCAGGAGGAGGAACGGAGGAGGAGAGAAGGAGGAGAGCTCCCCGCCCAGCGCTGGAAAAAGGTAAGTTTAAACACCTTTCCCCCTTCCAGAGCCGGGCGGGAGGGGGTCCCTGAGGGTGGGGGCACCCTCAGGGCACTATAGTGCCAGGAAAACAAGTATGTTTTCCTGGCACTATAGTGGTCCTTTAAGCTTTATTCCTAGGCTAGCCCTATGTATGAATCATTTCTGCTCATTCAGAAGAGCCTTCATCAGTGTACCCATGACATTTTCACCCACCAAATGCTTTTCTCAGAAACTACCACTCCCATCATCCGTGACCTTGGGCATTATCTCTGTGTCTAGGCTATCACCCAAACTGTTTGAGCCACATTTCGCTGAATTCCTGGATTGAGCATAACACATGCAATTATAATGCAAAGATGCACAGACATTTCGAGTATAATGTGCGGCTTCAAAAACGAAATGTGAAACACATTTGGTGCGCGAATAATTGTCTTGCAAACCTAAATCCTGAATTACAGAATAAAAGCAAAGCACACGTTGCAGGAACATTTCTCAGTCGTAAATAAGATTTAGAGGTATTAGCAGTAGAAAGAGGGAAGTGCTCATGCCATTATACAGAACACTGGTGAGACCTCACTTGGAATATTGTACACAGTACTGGAGACCGTATCTTCAGAAGGATATTGATACCTTAGAGAGGGTTCAGAGAAGGGCTACTAAACTGGTTCATGGATTGCGGGATAAAACTTACCAGGAAAGGTTAAAGGAACTTAACATGTATAGCTTGGAGGAAAGACTAGACAGGGGAGATATGATTTAAATACATAAAGGGAAGCAACACAGTAAAGGAGGAGACTATATTTAAAAGAAGAAAAACTACCACAACAAGAGGACATAGTCTTAAATTAGAGGGACAAAGGTTTAAAAATAATATCAGGAAGTATTACTTTACTGAGAGGGTAGTGGATGCATGGAATAGCCTTCCAGCTGAAGTGGTAGAGGTTAACACAGTAATGAGTTTAAGCATGCATGGGATAGGCATAAGGCTATCCTAACTATAAGATAAGGCTAGGGACTAATGAAAGTTTTTAGAAAATTGGGCAGACTAGATGGGCCGAATGGTTCTTATCTGCCGTCACATTCTATGTTTCTATGTACAATATGGTTTTGTATTATGAGTTTTTCTCTTGGTTACCAAAACACTGAGGTAGATGGGACCAGAGTGTTCTGACCTGTATTTATTCAGGAACGAGGCGAAGATTAGAGCTCATTGTGATGGAACAGAAACAAAGAAATCTTCTGACTGCTGGCACATGACATTGCTACTCTGTTATTACTGTCACATTAGAGTGCAATATCACGAGGAATAAAATGGTTTCACACAGTTCCTGTGTCTCTGAAAGTGGGAGAACAAAGCATTTCATTTCAATACTCCCAAATCTTCTTTGCGCATTTTAAAGCATCTCAAGCCTGCAATAATATTTTATATTCAATAAAATGTCTTAAAATGTGTAGATGCCAATGGATGTCTACACAACTTTTTTAGCCTGTACTTTATCCCGTTGGGCATAGAGGTAAAAAACAAAAACATGGTCACTGCAAATACTCATCCACCAATCCCTTGATATACGTTTGTCTGCTTCCATTCAAAGCAACAGCTAAAGCGCCAAGCTCAGTCCTGCTTGGCGAATATAATGTTATTTTCAGAATGGCGGATCCTATTCCATGGAATGATTGATACCTTTTGAAGAAAAGTCATATGAGTTAGGCTCTGCAGGGCACTCCATCTAAAAAGTGTTCACCGGCAACAGAAAAAAAGACTTTATACAAACAACAGATACAGACTCCAAACAGATCAGACGTCACTCGGTCCTTATTCATAGGCATGATCCTACACAGAAGAAAGACTCCCTTTTGAACTGTGCATTTAGAGGTTGACAACTCCCTTGGTTTGCTTTAAAGGACATATGTGTGACAACCCACAGGGCTCTGTTTTTCTGGGATCTGGAACCCAAATGCAACAGAACAGCACAACCAACATGATACTCTCGAGGTGGAGACAATGTATTGGTGGGTGTATGATGGCACGGGTGCTTTATTGAATAGGAGAATATCCAGGAATCAAATCCAAATGGGTAAGGCTTAGAGGCAAGGTCAAAGGCAGTCTGAAGGTCAGGGCAGGCAGCAGGAGGGAAAGTTAGAGATTAATCCAAAATACTGGTAACCAGGAAATCACACAAAAGCTCTATGAACACAATGAGTACAGGCAACTGAGACTAGGCTACAGAACACCTGAGCAATAATTTGAGGGAGGGAGCAGAATTTAAAGGGATCAACTGTCACATGATTGGCCTCTCGCCTCTGTATATGGAGTCACATGACCCTATAAACTTGCACAATGCATAATATTGCAATAATATATTGCAAAAGAAAATTTGATTAATAATGTGGAAATACATTTGTTTAGTTCTAATTTAAATATAAATACAATAGTTCACATTAACAATGAAACAGGAAATGAAGGATAGGGTACAGAATTTGAAAAGAGATAGAGTTACATAAATAATGACCAGGGACATGGAAGTTTAATAGATGTGGAGGCCCAGGGAGACAGAAACATAGCAGAAGGATGTTCTATGACATGAAGAGTTTCCAAGAAGAACCTTATGCATATACCAAGGGGTTAATTCTAAAGAGGATTTGGAACATTTGGTAAAGAGTAAGTAACGATTACCAGCATTAAAACATTTTTTTATTTTTTTTAATATTCCAACCAGTCATTCTAAATGCAAAGGCAAGGAAAGGTGTAGCAATCTGAGAGTGAAAGCCTTATTATGTTATGGAGCCCATAACAGATTAATTACCCACTGGCTAGGGCATAGGGGAAGCCAAAGTCATTGTATGGTACAATTTAACTTACAGCCTGTAAGGTAAATCTCTTCTCATATAATCATTTGTTCCCATTTTAGCTCATGTCAGACCTCCTGCGCAATTATAATTTGCATTTTTATTTAATTATTTTTACTATAGATAATAGTGGTTATGATGTGCGGAGTACCGTGGCTCTGTTATCCTGTAATGGGGCAAATCAATTTTAAAACTGTTTATCCACTTACCTGAGTCCCTTCCAGGCATCGGGTCTCCTGTGAAGCAGTCTTACAACATCCAGCTTCTGCATAGCTGGATGCGGAATCTGCCACTCATTCATTGGCTAAGAGTGTGATAGAACACCTAGTCACTTGTTGTAGAGATCTTACCTTGCAATTTTACACAAGCCAAGGGTACTCAAGGCAGAAATCCCCAAGGCTGTGAATCAGGAAAATATATCACAGTCCTTTAGATTCTGGCAATAAATGAATTAAATTAGAAAATAGTAATGAGCTGAATGGTTACTTGCAATAGAGCAATTTAGGAGTAACTGGAACCCAGAAGGCAGACAAGTGTATTCCCTTTTTATCCTTCCAAATAAATATAAGGCTTGAACCAATTATGAATCCAGTAACTGGAGAACTTATCTTGCTTTCTTTAGATGATGAGCATGGAAGTCCTTTCCAGAATAGAGTGGATTATGGTTCCCTGTAGAATATGGAGGAATGGAGGAATTTGTGGTGAAGTCTGTTCCTAGCCTGGGAGTGGAGAAGTCAGCGTAGTCAGGATCAAGCAAGAGAAGTTCGGTATACAGGTAATCAAATAGAAGAGCTCCGACGGCAATCAGCAACAAAGTAACAAGGTAAGTGAGAGGCACAAAAATTGATTGAGCAATTTGGACGCGGCTTCCTTTTGATAGGGATGCACGTGACGTCTGACGCATGGGCGGCGTCGGAGCAGTAAAACCCAGAAGTCATACGGGTAATGTCGATCGGAAGGAAGATATAGGGGAATCCTGACACCTAGACACAGAGGTTCTGGGGCAGGAAGATTTGAAGTTGAATAGAGACCCCATGCTGGGGGTCTGTGTATAAATGACCGTGCTTTTATCAATAAAATCAGTTCTTCTCCCAGCATTAAGTATTGGCTAATGTATGGGGGAAATGGCTATAACATTGCTATACACTACAGCTATTATACTGAGCTATAATCACTGGTTACTGCACTAAGTGGGATACTTCTGAGGGAAAAGGAGAGCCTTGGTGGTGACACTTGGGTCCCCTAATGAGTGGTCCACCAAAGAGCAAGTCTACTTATCTCTCAGCCAATTAATGCTCCTCTGAGCATATAAATATTCACAGAATTGAAATTAGCCAGGCTCAAACTCTTGTACTGGGCAGTCTAGTGAACCTGTGATGACACTGGTGAATATGGAGGTACATCTGAGACAGCAAAGGGCTTAAACTCAGTATGTTCAGCTTATCACAGTGAAACGCTGCACATACAAATTTCGGGCACCATGACCACTTGAAATCACTGATGTGGTCGTCGTGCTGAGGGTATCCCTTTAAAAAAAAGTGTGTGTTGGTGGGAACACAGATAATTAACTTCAGCCTGCAGATATTTCTTATATATAGCACCTAGCATTCATATGCAATGTCATTCCACAGTATTGGGGGTACTTATACACTAGTACCAACCAAATGTAAATATAGAATGGTATGACTGAGGAAATTATGACTTTTCAAAAAGGCCCCTTAGGTAGCAAAGTATCTATCTGCTTTGCCAATAAACAGTTCTATGCCGGTGGGAGGGTTAGGAGGACGATGGGGGCACACATTGACATTGACCACGTTACCATGTTGTCCACCGACATTATTATTACTGATAGGTCAGAATAAACAAATACTAAGGGCCAGTGTTATTATTCCCATATCAGCAATATAGGGGTTAGTACATTTAAAGAGACAGGCCTATCATATAAGTTCTAATATTAGAGATGTATGCAGATTTTTGGTATGCGCAAAACAGATGTTTACTACACCTTAATTGACTGCTATGGTAACTCGAAGTGTCTGTTCCATCCGAGCTTTGCCGGTTTCAGATCTAGTGTCTGCTACATATACTACAAATACAAGATATTTCATAGTACACGAAAGGCAAAGGGTTTGCCAATTAGTAATGCAATACATCTGAGGATGACTCATTCCAGGAGTGGGTTGTGTTGTCATGGTAACTGCTTCTGTTTTGTGGTATTTAATATTATCTATATGTCCCAGTATCTA